AAGGCTGCCTCCTCCTGTCCACCACAGATTCTGTGGTTGGATTAGCCCTGACTACAGTGTCCCCAAACCAAGAGGAGTTTTGACTCAGATCTTGCTGGTAGAGTGCCCTCTACTCTGCCTGGCCTTGACTCTCCTTTCTTCCCTTTGCTGATGAAGATGGGAGGGAGGAGGTGTAGACCAGGAGGCTGCTAACAAGACCCCATGGGCAGTCCATCAGCAAAGAAGGACTCTGCTCAGCAAAAGGCCAAGTGGTATGTGTGTGCGTGTGCGCCTGTGTGTGTGTGTCCCCAGCACACACGCCAGAGGCAGGGGTGTGTCTGGCAGCATGCATCCTAGGAGAAGCTGAGGACAGGATGTGTCAGAAAGGGCATGGCAGAGGGGCAGTGGGAAGAATCAGCTTTCAGCTCCTGGCCTGAGGCCCAACATGCACCAGACTTGGAGTAGGCAGGTCCCAGAGCCGGTGGTTTCATGTTTGTGGCTCTGAGACAGAAAGATAGGATCTGGTTACCCAAGGAGTGGAGGCTGCCTAGCTGGGGAGATGCTGAAACTCAGCATCTCTCTGCTCCTCCCTCTTTCCTGGCTCCTGGCACAGCTCTCCTGATGCCTGCATTTTCTCTCCCCTCTGCCTACCCCAGCCAGGGTGGCCTGGCCTGCTGCTCTGTCTTCTCCCCTGGCCCTGTCTTTTTCAGGCCTGCTGGCTGCTTGCTTCTCTCTCCCAGCCTTCCTGTGTGCTGAGGGTGGGTGGCGGGGGTGCTGGTGTGAGGGTGGGGAGATAAAGGGGGCTAGGCCTAAGATTTAATGCACTTCTCTTCCTCTTGAAAGTCTCCTCCCTCCCCAGACACATCCTGTGACCTTCTCAGGCTGGGACCCAGGGTCTCGGGGGGGCAGTTTTCTTCTGTCTGCTGCCTAGGGTGGGTTAAGCAGCTTGTGTGAAGAGTGGCTCTGAATTATGAAAAGAGCTGTAACTGGTGTGAGCTGTCTGCGGATGCGTGCCACATCCCTGTATAAGTGTGCATGTTTGTGTGTATACATGCCTGTGCTTATATGTGTGTGCATGCATGTGTGTGCGCATACCCGTATGTGTGTGCTCGTGCACTTGTGTGTTTGCATGCACGTGTATAGAATGCAGCAGGACAGGGGGACAGTTAGGCTCCAGGCATGACGTGGGGAGTGAGACTAAGAGCAGATACCTTACTTTCCTCATCCCCTGCTCTGCACCAGAGTCTAGGAAGCCCAGAAGATTTCGAAGTTGGAGGCTCAGCCCCAGGGCTGGATTGAAAGATGCTGGAGGTCCCTGAGAGGAAGCCTAGATGGAGGGAGGGACAAAGCCAGGCAGAGCTCCAGGGGACACAGAAAATGGGCCTGTCTTGCTACAGTGGGCTCTGGTATCAGTTTCCTGTTAACACAGTGCTCTCTAGAGTAGAGAAGGGGCTGGGTCCCGGGGAGATGGGAGAGGGAGCTGGAGCTGCAGAGGCAGCTGGTAGCCTGGCCCCCTCAGGGGCACTGCCCACGGGTGCCAGCTCGGTCTGCCTGAGGCAGCTGACCTATTTTTCTTAGGAATCTTCCTGCTTTTCTGTTCTCTCTTGCGTGAATAAGCAGGAGACTGGTGAGCAGAGACAGGGCCTCCGTAAGGGTTTTGGAGAACAATTCCACGTGAGCCAAGCTTTGAGGGAGGTGCCAGCCAGCCTAACGGTCCTTTTGAGAAGAGAGGGGACCGGGACAGTCCCCTCAGCCTGTCATCGTATCCCCAGTGCCCTTACTTCCCTCCTGGTCATGGTCACCCACCGAGAAGGTCTGTGGCAGATAGCTTGCACCCAGGCTCGCCTTCACAAATTATACGAGGTGAGCCACTGTCCTCATTTTCTGGCTTCAGAGTAGGAAATGCTGGTGCTTCACTGTGAGTAAATATGGGGCTTCGATTTCCTACTTCCTTTTCTTGTCTTACCCGAGGAGAGGAGGGTGGCTTGGTGCAGGCAGAGCCCACGGTGCCCTCACCTGGCTGGGCCTGCCTGCCGGCTCTGGAGGACCCGCGTGCAATTGGCCATGTGTGAGTGTGCAGGGTGCAGGCCTCCACCATGTGGCAGGGCTGTGGGGGTGGGGTGTAGCTTTGCCTTTCTACTGAGGAGCCATTAAAGGAGCAGAGCTGAGCTTGAATTACTGACTGCTTCCTGTCAGTGGCTCGTGGGGAAAAGGCTCTTGGAAATACAATCTAGCTGAGAGCAAATTAAGGTTGCTAATAGCATCGCTGCCTCGGGGGCCGCTGAGGGGAGCCCAGCCAAGAGGGTTAGGAAGGAGAGGCACCCACAGGAGGAAGGAGGCCTGCAGTTCCTGCCCCTCCCCCCCAGTGCCTTGCTGTTTGGAAGATGGAAGCTTTCCTGGCTAGGGCCTGTCTGGGCTCACCTGACCTCTGACTTTCCACCCTGAGAGGTTTGATGGGGAATGGGGGCCGGAAGGGCTGTGAGGACACTGATGGGGAGACCATGGAAGGTGGGGACTTTTCTGTGAGCCTGCCTAGGCTGGGTGTGGGGGCCCTTGCTGAAGGCAGAATGATGGCCAGATGACCGATAGCCCACCTGCCTTCAGGAAAGAACAAGGACATGACCAGATGTTTTGGTCCTGTGTCCATCTCACACTTGTAGAGTGTTCTTTGCTCTGGGCAGTAGGGAGTCTGTCCTCTGCCTTCCTCAGGCCATCCCTCTGGGTGTGTACTGCTGTGGGAGGCTCCCTGGGAGCCCGAGTCCCCGGCTTCCTGGAATCTCCTGGAGCCTCCTGGCTTGTTGGGGAGGAGTGATCGGGGGACTATTGGGGGCTGTGCCTTTTTTGGACTCAGCAGGGATTATTTTTAGGCTAGCAGATGGAGGTGGCGGTGGCTGTCGCTGGTATTATTAGACAACAGGCCTGTGGTTTGGGAGTCTGGTGCCCAGAGGAGGAGGGGGCGGGGGACAAGGAGGAGGAGGAGGAAGAACAAGAACAGGAGGCTCCAGTAAGGACTTGTACTCATGAATGATGGAGGCTGGTGCTCACCCCGTGGTCTTTCCTTACCGCAGCCACTACCAGACCTACCCAGAGGCTGCAGAGTGATACTGAACCCAGAGTCAGTCACAGACCACCAGCTGCATCCCGCCGCAGGCCCACCATGTCTTCCTTCTCTGTGGAGGCCTGAGCAGAGCATGCAATGGGGAGAGACTGCCCTCTGACTCAGGGAGGAAAGGGCAGGGCGCTGAGTCTGGGGTGCCGAACAGGAGGGGTCTTCGTGCCTGGGCCTGTGGTCTGGCAGGATGCTGTCTGTGAGTGTGGGCAAAGATGAGACATGGCAGCTGGAGCCTGACTGCCCCACCTGTCCCTGAGTCACTGCTGAGCCAGGTCGCCTCCCAGTTTGCTCATTTGTGAAAATGAGCCGGTAGTACTTCCGTCAGGTGGGCACTGTGAGCATTACAGGAGATTTGTGTTACATGCCCGCCCGGCCCAGAGCCTGCTATGTGGTAGGTACTCAGAGGAAGTTACGTTGCCTGACAGCCAAAGTGCCCCCTGCTCTGGCTCTTAGACCTTCTCAGGCATTTAGAGTGTCTCTCATTCTCAGGGACCCTCCCTCCTCCAGCCCTGCCCTGCTGGAAGAGCCCCCGGCTGTGAGTGTCGGGCACAGGGTTTGTGCCAGGGCCTGGCTCCTCATGGTTCTATGCCCACAAGGGATCCAGTGGCAGTCTGGACTTGGCTGCCCACTGGGCACCACCTGGCATAGAGAGCAGGGGATTTGTACTCTGTGGGCTTCCCAAAAGGTCAGCCAGACAGCAGGGGCTACCTCGTCCTCTGTCCTTCTTTGCTCTCCTGCTTTCTCTTCCTTATCCCAATAAAACAACTCCAGAGTGGGCTGGGCAGAGCCCCAAAATGCAGATTCACTCTGCTCAGGGGACTGCTGTTTCCTGCCTCCTCAAAAATGGGTATGTGGAATCCAGGGCACCTCAGGCCTCCTACCACCCTCACCCCTGCAGATGCTAGTTTCCCCTTTGAGGTTGGAGCCTCATCTCTTGGGGCTGCTGTAGGCTTGTTTGGTGGGGAAGGGGCCTGGGGGTGTCACCCCCTCTTGCAGCCCCTCCTCACCCAGGTCACTATCCGTGCTTCCCTTCCCCTCCCTCCCTGCTCTGTTTTCCCTCACTCTCCCTCCCTCCTTCTTGCTCCCTTCAGAACCAGTGGGCAGTTGCCCCAGTCAGCCCTGCTGGGGAGAAGCCCACTCGCTCCCTGAAGGAATTGCTTCCATTCTGTCCCCATCCTGGTTCTAGGGTCCTTTGAAGGCCTGTGTCTCTGTGTCCCCTGTGCCCCAGAGTTCTCTCTCCTACCCTGGACTGGGCTCTGCCTGTGTCTGGTGCGCACTGTGCCTGTCCCTGCCTCTCTCTCCTTCCTGGTTTCTTAAGTTTCTTTCACTCTTTGATTTGGGTTTGGTGCCCTCTTGGGTTAGAGTTTATCTCTCTCTCCTCCATCAAGCCCCTCTTCCCTTTTTACTGCCAGCTTGTTTACTTTTTCTTTCTTGCTTCGAGCTTTTCTGGGCAAAGTGTTTCATTAGACATGCTTTGGCTCAGAAAGGATCAGGCTTAGGAAGAAGTGAGTATAGGTGACGAGTGAGAGTGCTGTGTGTGTGTGTGTGTGTGTGTGTGTTGAGGAGTTGAGGAAGCTGATAAATATTTTAGGGTTCAGGGATGCCTGGGTGGCTCAGTCCGTTAAGCATCTGCCTTCGGCTCAGGTCATGATCCCAGGGTCCTGGGATCCTGGGGTCCTGGGGTCGATCATTGAGGGCTCTCTGCTCAGCAGGGAGCCTGCTTCCCCCCTCCCTCTGCTGCTCCTCTTGCTTGTGCTCTCACTCTTGCTCTTTCTCTCTCTCTCTCAATAAATAAATAAAATCTTAAAAAAATATTTTAGGGTTCAGAAAACCAGGAAGGTTGGACCGAGTGCAGAGGTGGGGGCAGGGGCTCCCACCCCTCTGCTTTCTTCTTGGGAAACACCATCTCTTTTTGCCTTGCTTAGAATCCTTGGGATGCTTCTCTCACTGAGTCCCCTCTCCCGCTGCTTGTCCTTGGTTGAAAGGGTCCTTATGCTGAGAGGAGGGGTGGGGCCTAACTGGCTGGGGTTGGGGGGGGGCTGGCCTTGGGTTGCGTGCTCAGTCCTGAGCCCAGGGGCCGGCTAGGGGGTGGGGCTGGGAACCTGGAGCCAGCGCCAGTGCTGGGGGAGGTGTGAAAGAGACTGCCTCTTTGCCATGCGGTGAGAATGAGGCAGCCCTGAGCAGCGGGCACTGTGGGGACCCATTTCAGAGCCGACCCACCCCCTGGCATTGCCCCCCAGAGCCCTCAACCCTGGTAGGGGGGGAGCTACAGAGCCGAGCTTCACTGCCAAAGGTGGGCAATCGCCTGCTCAGCAGTGCTGGCCATTTCCTCAGACCCTCTTCCTCTTGCCTTAGGCTTTAGGGTAAAGCCCTGGGAAGGAGCCCCCTTCTGTGGACAGCCTCTGTCCCCCACACCTGGCAACCAGGCCCTGGAATAACTCCTTCCTCTTCCCCTAGGCTCCTGTATTTCTCTTTTCACCTCCCGGAAAGTCTGTGCAATGCACACGCACATATACACGCACACAGTCACATACACACATATACACACTCACACAGGCACACACACATTCCCCCATGAACACACACCCATGTCCTTCTGCTAAGAGCTACACATATGCACACATGCACATACACTCATACATACTCATACATCCTTTTGCCATGAGCTGCTCTCATGCACACAGACTCTCACATGCATACACACGTTGCTCCCCCTGCTCACTCGTGGTGCCCGCTGTTTGCCCATTCCTTCTGGGTCCAGGATCAGCCTTTGTGCTCCTGGAGGCTGGGAGGCAGGCTCTTTGCCTATCTAGGTGCCCTTGGGGTTGTGGGGGAGGGGCCTGCTGCAGCTAAGCCCTCTCCTTGCTTTCCCTGAGGGGTTGGAATTCAAACCTAGCCTGAAGCAAGGTTGGGGGTGGGGGGATTGGGAAACCTGCTGGGGCCTCAGGCAGGTGAGTGCAACACTCTGCTCTGCTCCAAAAATATTCTGTGATCTTAGCTCTTTCTCTAGAAAACAGTGATGTCACCAGTAGCCAATCAGCTTCTAGAAGAGCTTGCCTCCTCCTCCTTCCGCAACTTAGGAGAGGGAGAGGGGGATGGGGAGGGAGAGAAGGAGAGACACAGAGATGAGCAGACAACGTGTAGGCAGACATGGAGAGAGATGCAAACACAGAAACGTAAGCACACAGAGGTCCCTCCACACAGAAAAGCAGGGAGAACCTCTTCCTGGTGTATAGGCGAAAGGAAATCCACACATATCCCCCAATACACACACAAAGACATACATACTGATAGAGACATGAAACAGAAAGACAAGTAGAAGCATTCATATAGAGTGGGAGCTAAAGAGGAAAAGACAGAGACACAGAGACTTGAAGAGAGACAGAGCGGCACAGAGAGACATGGAGAAGGAGTAGGAGAGGGAGACTTCTGTCTCAGAGCCAGAGAGACAGAGGAAGAGTCAGAGAGACCGACATAAGAGTCTAGAGACCTCTAGAAGGAGCCAGAGATGCAGAGACATGAAGGAAAGACAGAGACGAGAGAAGGAGACAGGCAGGAGCACACAGGGGTCAGAGATGCAGTAAGAGTCAGATGCAGAGGTACCATGACAGATAGGCAGACAGACAGATGTACAGAGGGACAGATGGACAGACGGACGCTGTTCTTCTGGGCATCCTTTCTGTGGTGGGACGGCCCATCAGCTCTTGGCTTTGTGCCTCTCACAGAGCAGCTGCTGTCCTTGGTGCTGCCTGGAGGGGCCCCGCCGGGACTGCAAAAGGAGGCGAGTTTGGATGGGGCGAGCTGTGGTCTAGTCCGGAGTCCTGTTGGGTAGTGTGAGGGAAGGCAGGAGGGAGAGGCTTCTCCAGGCTGTCCCTTTCACTGGGAAACAAGCTGGACAAGGTGACTTTGTGGGCACGGAGTCGTCGTGTGGGAGGGAGCAGTTTCAGGCTGAAGGTGGGGGCAGCACGCCTCCTGTAGGGGCTTGGGAACAGGCTGCCAGGCGAGAGAAGCAGTGCCTGAGTTAACCTGTCCTCTGTGTCCTCCAGCTTGGGGTTGGGGGTGGGTCTCTCTCCACTTTGCCTTCCCAGTGCCAAGAGGATGTGTGCACCCTATCCAGATGTGTGTTTTATCATCTGCCAAAGTTGGGGTGATTTCCCCAGTCCCAGAGGTCCGACTCTGTCCCCAGCATCCTGCTTTCCTAATGATGATGTCTGGGGCTTGGAAATTGGAGGGCTGGAGACCCCTCCTGCTCCCCTCTTTGCAGCAGGCGCAGTGGGCAAGGGAGGAGGGGCCTGGAGAGGCCGGTCAGGCCTGTGGGGTTTTCCCTCTAGTGTTGCCATGAGCAGCCTCTGCTCAGCTTGTTAGGGATTCCCCTGCTCCTGTATGGAGTACTCTTGTTTTGTGCTGCGAACATCAGGCTGAGCTAGGGGTGGGGCGTAGGAGGAGGCTGTCTCTGCGGCTCCTACCAGGCTCTGGTGGGAAGCATCCTGCACAGGAAGAGATTCCATATTTATACTCTCAGCTACAGCAGGCCCCTGTAGCCCAGGCTGCAGGTCTCCACAGTGAGGCTGAGGCCCCTCTACTTTCTCAGTAGCCAGACCCCTTGTAACTGTTTGGGGGGGTACAGTGGGGGAGGACATGATCATGGCTGTGCTTTTTGGATTGGGGAGGGAAGGTTTGGCTTGCAGGACTGGAAAGAACTGCTTCCCTCTCTTCTTCCCTGCTTCTTCCCCGTCTCAGGTTCATGGATACCTGGGACCCCCAGGGCCATGGGAGGTATGAACAGGGAGGGGGAGAAGGGGGTTCAGGGTGCATTGGGGACCCTCTGGGGAGTGACTGAGCTTTTCAGGAGGAGGGCTGGGGTGGGCAGCTGGCTTTGGGGAGGGGGGTGGGGGATGGAGGTCCTTGGACACGGATGGGCAGGGGGCTGCCTCTTGGGCTGCAAGGGCAAGTTCTCCTTGTCACCCCCCTTTGTGCATCCCAACTTTGCTGACCCACTAGCTGCCCACGGCCTGAGAGAGGAGCCCGAGTTTGTGACCGCAAGAGCCGGTGAGGCTGTGGTCCTGCGATGCGACGTGATTCATCCGGTGACGGGACAGCCCCCGCCCTATGTCGTGGAGTGGTTCAAGTTTGGGGTACCCATCCCTATCTTCATCAAGTTTGGCTACTATCCACCTCATGTGGACCCTGAGTATGCAGGTAAGGTCTGGGCTGCAGGGGGCTCCCCCCACCCCACCCTGCCATTTCCTCTCCTGGTTTTGGCATGGCTGGCCTTTTCCTCTCTCAGTGGTCATGGTCACTGTTCCTCCAGCCTTTCTCTCTATTGCTGCTTATCTTTTTCTGACTGGTCTGTTATCTGTTATCTGTTCTCCATTGTCTCTGCCTCTTTCCTCCCATCCTTTGGACTTTGGTAGGTTTTAATTAAGTGGTGGGGAGGAGAGGGACGAGGTGGCGCCGACACAGAGCATCACGGCACAGCTGGGGATGTGCAGGGGCAGAGGCGGAGTAAGGACAAGGAAGCCTAGAGAGCCCACTGTGCAGGACAGCAGGGCTGCACTGGAGGGCAGCTCTGTGCAGGAAGAAGCTGAGTCAGAGCCCTGCTGCCCTTGGCCCGGTGTGTGCTCGTGGCCGCTGTGGAGTCGGCTCTGTCTGCCTTGGCCCACTCCCTCCCTCTGGCTCTGAAGTTGGGGCCTCATCCCATCCCTGAGCAGAGGCAGACGTCTGGGGCTAGTTCATGCCATGGCGGTGGGCACCTGCTTTCTGCCTCCTCTGCCACTCCGGCCTCCCTTCCCCGGGCCCCCGGGTGTCTTGCTTTGCAGTTGCTCCTGCCATCAGGGGCCTCGCTATGTGTCACTGCCATGCCTACCCGCCAGCCGGCCAGGGAGGAGAGCGTGGGGCGTGCATCAGGGTGCATATGTGAATGGGAGTGTGAGTGTGTGTGTGTGCATGAGTGCATGTGTGTGCTGGGGTTTTAAAGGAAGACAGGAAGCTGGCAGACCTTGCTTTTATCTTTACTTCTGACTCTTGAGGTCTGAACTGCATTTCTCCCAGAAAGCTTCCATTTCTCTCTCTCTCCCTCTTGGGCCTATCTCTCACTCTCTTTTTGGCCGTGGTTGGTTTTGACATTCTGGTTTTTAGGCAGATTGTCAGTGTTGAGACAAGGATGAAAACAGACACTGGAGAAGCGGTGGGCTGAGGTGGTGGGTGAGGGAAGGGTGGGCCCTGGGGGCTGCTCCTCATCCTGGACTCCCATTCTGCTTGCCTCCTGCTGCATCTCTTACCTTCTCATTTCCATGAGTAAGACAAAGATGGCCTCCTAAAGGGGAAGAGGATGGGGTTAAGGAGGGTAGCTGGGGGGCCTCTGCTCTGCTTGCCAGCCCTATCCTCATTCTTGGCTTACAGGACCTGGTGTCTCCCACCACTCTGGTTCCTGCGTGCCCTCCCTCTGCTTTACCATAGGGAAGCCAGGCAGAGAGGTGCTGGGGGTGGGGACCCAGGTGGGAGAGGGATGTCACTCAGCCTGAACTGAGGTTCAGGGGCCTGCCCTAGAGTCCCCTACCTCACCTTCTTCTGTTTGCACCTTTTTCCCTCCCTTGCTTCCTCCCACTCTCTTTATTCAACACTGCATCCCCCGTGCCCTTACTTTGTCCCAAGAGACTTGCAAAAGGACAGGAGTATTCCGAGGGACTGCAGCTCTTCCCAGTGCCAAACCCAGAATTACAGTTGCAGCTGGGTGGGGCCAACTGAGGCTGGAAGAATGTCTCTGTGGCCAGGCTGCGTGCCTTTCCCTTTGCCACCTGCTGCCTGGGGTTGGTGCCAAATGTAATTTTGAGGCCCTGACATGGGAAATGGTCGGAATGTTACAATGGGTCCTCTGCCTTTGGCGGTCGTGTGCTGCTAGCCTCGCCCTGATGGCCTCCTGGGCTTTTGTCCACTCTCTTCCTGCAGGCCGGGCAAGTCTTCATGATAAAGCATCCCTGCGGCTGGAGCAGGTTCGCTCTGAGGATCAGGGCTGGTATGAGTGCAAAGTGCTCATGCTGGACCAGCAGTATGACACCTTTCACAACGGCAGCTGGGTCCATCTTACCATCAACGGTGCGTATGGGCCTCATTCCTGGGGATGGGTGGGTGGGGGGTGACCTGGAAGTCTACACTCTGAGGACCTGCTTTAGGGGAAGCCTCTTTCCTGACTGTACCCTATCCGTGCACCAAATCTCTGCTGCAAGGATGAGTCAGCAGGGCTGGGCCCCATTGAGTTAGCAGCTCCCACCTCCTGCTTGCCCTCAGCTGTCTCCCTAGAGCCTCTGGGGTCAGTGGAGGAGCATGGGAGAAGCAGCACGAGGTGGGGTTTGCTGTGGGTGTTGGCGTCAGAGTTCCTTAGAGGGTGGTTGGAATCTGGTTCTTGAAACCAGAGGGTTAAGGCTTTGTGGAAGCCAAATTTGTAACTGCTGACACCATTTCTCAGCCTTGGGAAGACGCTGCTAGCCCAGGAAATGCCTTCCTACACTAGTGGGATTCCTGGAGTCCCACCATGACAGTTTTCCTTTTTAGGTTAATATTTTGGTTCCTTGTTAAATATGTTCATTTGAGTGACATGCAGTGAGGGTCTGTTGTGTGCTTTGCCTGCACCAGGTGATAGGAAAACAGTGGTGACAAAGTCCAGACACTGTCCCTGCTTGTACTGGGTTTACTGTCCAAGGAAATGTAAGAATCCTGTGAAGAGTAACCATTTTAATGGCTGTCAGGTGTTTATAGCTCTCATGAAGTGAATTGTGCTGTGTGTTGATGCTTTTCAAGTGTTTGCAGAGGCCACATGTGAGCTGGCCCAGTTCCCAGTGCTGGTGTAGGCTGGGGGCCTGGGTCTGAGGCTGTGACCACACCAGGCACTGGGCCTTCTGTGTGTCCGCAGATGGAGAGTCTCTCTTGTGTCTCTGGGAGTCCTTACTTGGGAGGAGATACTCTGGAGGAGCCAGGAGAAGCTGGAACCGTGGAGAAAAATCTGGAGAAGTGGCATATATGCTTTGGATGTGCCACACACAGCTTGGGTCCTTATGGTTTTGATGTCTGTGACTATAGATGCTGTGGGTGGGAGAGAGAAATTGATGTTCCTGGCTTGGAAGCTTCTGATGGTATTGATCTGCTCTGAAGGATGGCTCTGTCTGCCATGCCTTGTGGGGTTGGGTCATTCCTCCCACTGGGGTCAGGCTATGCTCTGTGGCTTGAGACCTCTCCAGGGTCCTGAAAGAACAGGCTATTTTAGCCAGGGCACTGATCTCTTAGCCATTGTGGTCCTAGAACAGTGTTGGTCCACACTGCCCAACCCATTCGATGCAGTTGGTTCCTGTCAGTCAGCCCCAAGAGACTGATTGGAGGCTTATTTTAAGTCTTGGGTGGGCTGTCCCCACCACACAGCAAGCTTTTGAGTCACCTCCTTTTGATGACAGCTGTTGTGTGTGCCCAGAACGAAAACTCGTCTTAATATTAGCCCAAGCAAAACATAATTAGGAAGGTAAATCGGCTGCTAAAAGCTTCACTGACTGAACACTGAGCCAAGAGTCCCCATGTTGCTTTCTGTGTCTCCTTTGCCCTTCCAAAGCCGGGCTGAAATCTCCACCCACTTTTCTTTCATGTCATCCTGGCAGTGTCCATTTGGCTACCTGAGACATCGGGTGCTCAGTAGGCGCTCACATGACAGGAAAGTAGAATTTAGTTAAGAATTGTGTGTTCTGTTACGTCCCTGTGTGCATGAGTGGGAGTTGATTCTTTGAGAATTCCTAATTGCTCAGAGTGGAATGAGCGTGGGACAAGACCTGAGAAGGTTTGGTTTATTTCACGAACCCACCGATAGCTGTAGGATCCCGGGTAAGTCTCTGAGCATCAACTTCCAGTGCCTGTTTGCAGAGGTGTTGTGAGGATCAGATGAAATGCTGTGTGAGAAAGCGTTTTGCATAGTGTCTGGAACGTTAATTACATGTGGGTGAGCTGCTGGCCATCCTCTTTCTCAAGAGAGAAGAAAGATGGAATCAGATGAGCGTGTAGTGGGAGGGAGGCAGTGACACAGGAAGGTCCTCAGACTGGAAGATGCAGAGGACCATGGTAGTTTGAAAGTCCTTGTCAATTCACAACACATCTCGAATCCTGGCTTTTAGTATTTACATGAGTAACCTGTATACCCTGGGCCTGGAGATCAGGCTGGAGTGCTCCTTGTAAATCTTGTAAGTAAAGGGAAGTAACACACACACACACACACACACATTTTGAATGTTTTCTCTGTGGCAGGCTCTGGGGACATAGCAATGGACCCAACCCAGACCTAGCTCTTAAGGAGACTTCCAGAGGCAGTAAGCCCAGGGACAATTGCAGTATGGGCTTTGGGAGAACATAGGAGGGAGAGCTTCTCTGAGGGAGTGACTCCTGTGCAGAGACCTGACTAGGGAGTTAGCCAGGTGCAGGGGTGGGAGGTGCGGAAGGGTATTCCAGGCAGAGGGAACAGCATGCCTGGAAGCCTAGAGGAAGGAGAGTCAGTGCGTTCAGGGAGGGTGGGCAGGTTGCTCATAGGGAGGTGCTGGGCAGGAAAAGCTAAGAATTGCTTCCCTCTCTGCCCCAGGCTTCAGAACCAGAGTTTACCATAGAATACTTTGCCCTTACCAAGGAGCCTTCCTCCCAAATGGGGAGAAAAGAACAGACACCTTTCAAGGTGAGAGAACTCTCTCCCTTTATTCCCCCCCTCCCTTCATCCCGAGTTCTGAGGTTCCTTCCAGCATAAATATTTCCATTATGGAAGGAAAGAGTCTAGAGAGAGTGCCAACATTCCATTGGTTCCAAACTAGAATGTTTAGTGTCAGGCATTTTCTGACAGATTTCACCTTTGGAAAATGAAAGGCCAGTGAAAAATTAGAATTACAAATGGTCTCATTCTCCTGCTGTGTTTTCCTGAGACCAGTTGGGTGGAAACAAACCCAATTATTCCTTTATCACATATAAAAGACCCAAAAAACCCAAGCCAAGTCTTGCTTTAGGTTAGTGAATTACTTGGAGGAGAGGCCAGCCTATTTCTAACCTGCACTATTAATTATAGGGCACTTGTAAAAAAGAATTAAGCCTGGAAATGCAGCTGGCAAGCTAACACCTAATTCTGTAAATAATCGAAAGGAAAACCATTATTTTCCTGAAAACTAGAGATTGTTCAAAGTACTTTCCTGATTAGCACCTAAATAATAAAGTAATTATGTAATTAGTAATTAATTTGTCACTTCAGGACGTAATTTAATTTATTATCTTTTCTTTTAAGCTTGACACCAGAGGTAATAGAGGCTGAGGTTGTATTAGCTGCATTTCAAGGGGCAGGTTTGGCAAGATGGGCTCTGTTGGAGATGAATACACATTCCATTTCAGAAGTTGGGATTTCAGAATCCCTGTATAAGGATTTGGGATGGTTTTTGCCATCACTTTTATTGCATTAGATGTTGGATGAGGATTGACATGCTTGAAGGTGTCCGTTGTGTGTGTTTCGTGTGTGATGAAGTATGCTTCTTAATTCACTCGGTATTCACCCTCCCAGTGCCCCCTGTGTGCCCACGCTGGGCTAAGGGCTTTGGAAATGATTGAGGAAAGTGGTCTTGTCATGATCTTGCTCCTAGGAGGTTTTGTATGTTTGAATTTGTGTTGGTCTGTAGGTGTGTGTATGTGTGTATACTCAATGCGTTTGTCCATTCAACAGATGTTTGTTGTGTGCTCTGTTACATGCCAGGAGCTGTGCAAAAAGCTGGGCATACAGTGGGATTTGCAGAAAAGACCTTTGTTCTCAGGGAGAGTCAGTGATTGTTGCTTTAAAGAAAATAAAGTGGTCCAAGGGGTTAGAGAATGCTGGAAGTGTTATCTTAGATGGGTTGACCACTTAAGGCAGAGATGGCATTTTAGCAAAGGTTTGCATGAACCAAGGGAGTGAGGTCTGGGTAAAGAGAAGACAGCATATGCAAAGGCCCTGGGGTTGGGCATTCTTGGCACATTCGAGGAAGACAAAGACGGCCAGGGTGGCTAGAGTACAGTGAAGGGGGTATGTGGTAGCAGACGAGGTTGGCAGAATGAGGGGCAGGCAGGACCAAATCTCAAAGCATTCTGACTGGTTCTCAGGGCAGCGGGGTCTGGAGAGGTGATACCCATCTCAGAGCTTCTTTCTCATGGATGCCTCAGAGGTTTCTGGGGAGATGATTATGATAAGAGTAATGGCAAAATAACCAATATTTCACACATATTTATCTTACAAGATCCCTTTCACAAACTTTATCTCACTTACTCCTCACCTCAATCCTGGAGGGGGCCAGATTTAGGTAAAGCCCAGAGAGGCTGAGTGAGAGACTGGGAGATGACAGAGAAGATTGGAGCTGGGGGCAAGTGTGTGCATGCTGTGAGAGAGCTTGCTTGTTTATTGCTCTGTCCTCAGTGCTGAGCATAGTGGCCTCCTTATAGATGCTCAGCAAACGTTTGTTTATTGGGAATTAGCCGAGTATGGTGGGAGAAGTGGAGAATTTGCACCCAGCCAGACTGACTTTGAATTTCAGGTCTCTCCTGCCCCTGTACGACTCATGGGCAGAGGATTTTACCTGTCTGCCCCTTCCTTTGTTTATCTGAGCACCGCGCAGAGGGTTATGTATGAACACAGCGGGCGTGGTGCCTGGCGCGGGTGGTGCTGCATGCAGGGCAGCAGACTGGCTAACCCCCCCACCCCCGCCCCGGGTCTCTCTGCAGCTCCTCCCACCTTTACAGAAACACCCCCCCAGTACATTGAGGCCAAGGAGGGTGGCAGTGTTACCATGACCTGCACAGCTTTTGGGAACCCCAAGCCCATTGTCACCTGGCTCAAGGAGGGGACACTCCTAGGTGCTAGTGGGAAATACCAGGTAAGTGTGATTCTCCATTGGAACTGCTACACTTCTTCCTCCTTGCTCCCCTTCCTTTGCCTCCGCCCTCTCCTCGGTGGCCTCCCACTTCATGTGACTGGTAACACTCTGCTCAGCACGCAGCCTGGCTGGTGTCTGGTTGGAGGGAGATGAAACATGAAGTGCCTGGCTCCATATTCCCCTAGTGTATGAGCCCCAAGTCCCTCTCCACCTGGGGGTGGTGTTGGTGGGGCCCCCGGTGGGTGCTGAGCTCCGTCTCTCCTTGGCCCCAGGTGAGTGATGGCAGCCTGACGGTGACATCGGTCAGTAGGGAGGACAGAGGCGCCTACACCTGTCGTGCATACAGCATCCAGGGAGAGGCTGTCCATACCACTCACCTGCTTGTCCAAGGTAAGAGCAGTTCCTCTCCTTTTCATGCCCTGGACCTTTTGCAGGGACTTCCAGCCCATCTGAGCTGCAGAGGGGTTTGCCCGGGGCATAGTTGGCACAGATGGGGTGGCTGGAGAGATGGGCAGCCCATGAGGAGTGGGGTCGGGCTCCTCCCGAGTATTGTGTAGCTCACAGCCAGAGCTCCCGTGGTGGCCTGCTGTGGCCATCACGTGGGATGGCGGGAGGCACCATGTTGAGTGGGTTTTGGGTTTCTCTCTCTGTCCAAATAGTGTTCTGCCATGCCTCCATCTTCCCCAGGAGAGGGGACCTCTCTCAGGTTCCCACCCCATTAGTGATGGCATCAGGAATTCAGTCCAAACCTCAGACGTTTAAACAACACTGAGGGCATTTGGCAGAACTGGGGTCTGCCTGGTCAGCACTGGGAAATGCCAGTCCGCCATGCCTGGGACCCCAGAGTGCTCCAGAGGGGGCAGCATCTGGGTGTCGGGGTCTCTTTGTGCTGAGCCCAGCCACCTTCTTTGCCTGCCCCCCACTACCGGAGGAACAGCAAGGGCTAGGGGTGGCTGTCTGGGCTGCCAGGGCTGCTGAGACACATGTTCTTTCTGCCTCCGTCTGACTTGGAGTGTTGAGTGGCGGCGGGGGCCAGAGATCCCTCTGCAGCTTGGAGAAGAGCTGCCCTCTCAGCAGAGAGCTGTCTGGAAAGCCAGCGCCAGGGAGGGTTGGAATTTCACGCCCTGGTGACTCTGCCTGCCCCCTGCCTCCTTGCCCCCAATCTGCCCTCTGGACCTCTGGCTGATAAGCAGCACAAGCCCCTTAACTCCTTCAGAGGCCAGATTATTCCTTGCTCTGGATTGAAGAGAGTGGCCTTTGTCCCTCCTGCATGCCCCCTGCTTAGATGGGCAGGAAGGGGTGTGTGTGTGTGGGGGGGCATCAGAGGGCTGGTTTGGGGAGCCAGGATTTATAGAGGCCATGTGTGCATGGAGGTGGGGTGCAGGTATACACCAAGAAGGGTGTCTGCAGCGGGCTCCAGGGGCTGGGGCACACTGTGGCCACATCCCAGGACCTTTTGCATCTCTGGGACCTGTAAGGAGAGTAAGAAGCTGAGCACTGGCAGCAGCTAGAAGCATCTCTGTGACAGGTGCCCAGGGTATGCTGCTCCCTCGTGGGCCAGTGCTGCCCCCCAGCTCCCTCCCAGAGTTCTGGGCACCCCTTCCCGAGGTGTCTCAGACCTTCCTGGGAGGCCCCCCGAGCTGTCGCTCTCCCCTTCCGCACCAGGTAAGGTCATGTTTATTTCCTCTTTCCCCAGGGCCTCCTTTCATAGTTTCCCCTCCTGAGAACATCACTGTCAACATATCCCAGGATGCTCTGCTCACCTGCCGGGCAGAGGCGTATCCCGGCAACCTCACCTACACCTGGTATTGGCAGGATGAGAACGTCTACTTCCAGAAGTGAGCATGCTGTCCTGCCCTCTCAGGGGGGTCTCCAGCCACCAGGCCTCCCAGGGGCAAGGCTTTGAGCAGGGGCTGCCACAGGCCGCCCTTGGCCTCTGGGAGCTTGCAAGAGGGGTGGTCTAGCCTGTCCCCTGTGCAAGGCCAGGGTCTGCACGGAGCAGCCTTGAGAGGGGCCAGGAAGGTGAGGAAGTCTGGCTCTCCTTGCCTCATTCGCAGGGTGAGGGGACTCCTTGCTGCCTTGCTCTGCTGTCTCATGGAAGACCCTCTTCCCTACGTGCCAACTCCCGCCCCTCCTTGTCTCCTTGTGTGTTTGCAGCGACCTGAAGTTGAGAGTGCGGATCTTGATTGATGGGACCCTGATCATCTTCCGGGTGAAGCCTGAGGATGCGGGGAAGTACACCTGCGTCCCGAGCAACAGCCTGGGGCGCTCCCCCTCTGCCTCAGCGTACTTAACTGTGCAGTGTGAGTAGGGGCGAGGGAGAGCCACACATGGTGGGGGTTCCAGAAGACGCAGGCCTCGTTAGCCGGACCAGAGGTTGGAGGACAGCAAGAGACCGAGGGTCATTTGAGGGAATGTGGGCAGAGGAATGACAGGAAGCAGGGACAGCCCAACAGGAGGCCAAGACCTGGACTGGCCAGTCGAAGTGAAGCTAGCACTTGCTGGGCGTCTCTTATGGGCCAAGCATCGCTCCACGTGTTAGCTGATTCATTCCGTCAGCCAAGCTTAGATTGGATTCAAGGATCGGCAGACCTTCTGAGCAGTTGTCCTTGCAGTGAATGCTAGCCAGCACCTCTCTCTGGACCATGAACAAGATGCTCTCTGGTGCTTTATTTCCCTCAGGTATACGAGGGAAGGCAGGTGAAACTGATGCAGGGTTAGATTTCCTGCCAGCTCTATGCCTTCCCCCACTGTGGACGGTTGTGTGGGGTGAAGGGGACAGAGCCCTCTTCTGGGGTGACTTGATCTAGTTCTGCCAACACCTGGCTTCCTCGTGGCTTTCTCCTTGCTCTTCTCTCGGGCTGCCAGAGATCCAAATGGATGAGCTGCTCCTCATGGCAGAACAGCCGAGGGCTTTTGTGCAAGCACAATAATTCAGTTTGCTAATCTTGAATCCGTCAGCATAGTCAATGCTTTCCCACCCCCTGGCAAGCTGATCATTGTGAGAAAGAGAGAGAAGGATGAGTAATGAGGATTAATTTCTTCCTTTTGATTTGTGGATGGCCCTGTCACTCAGACAACAAAGGTGCTGCTTTGTTGCCGTAGGTGACAGGCTCTCCATCACTTGAGGGCTGGTGTGGGAGAGCCTTCTGAGAACAAGCAGAAGAACAGTCGGTGACCCCGGGAGGTGGGGCTGGTCTCCGAAGCCACTCTGCAGAGCTGGGTGTTTGCACTTGTCTCCTGTTGAATGGGCCTCGGGGTGTCAGAGCCAGGCTGGACCTTTGAGCCCTGCTCAGCTGCTAACCTCACATTCTCATCGTTTTCTTCTTGATGCAGTGACTTTGCCAGCAGGGACAAAGGTGCACTTCACCATTTCCACTGTCATCAACTTTAAAGGGCTTTCAGCCTGCTACATTATGAGTCCCGAGTTTTTAAGGGCTCTGAGGCCCAAGAAAAGTGATGTGATGTGACCCAGGACATCAGGCCTGTCCCACCCAGACCTGCAGTAGGAAAAAGCCAGCCAAGAAGCTATTTGCACATGACTTAGCTTGTGCCCCAACCTGTGCTGGATGTGAAGGGGCTGGGGGAAGGGAAAAGTCCACTTGGAGTAGCATCTTGTCTGGCTAGGTCACTTGGGCAAAAAGGTGGCAGTGGCAGAGGGAGAGAGCCAACAGGGGTGGTCTTCAGAAGGATGATGAATCTAACCAGGAGTAAGCCCCCCGTCCATGAAGCCGTGGGCCATTTTTCTGCTGAGAGGGGTGTGTGGTTTCCCCGTCTCTCCCCAGTGCCATCACCCACTCCCGCTTGTCCTTTTTTACCTCCTTCTTGCCTTCAAAGAGAATCCGGGGGGTGAGATTTCCAGGTGGGTGAGACAAGGATCTTTATTTCTGCTAAAAAGCAGTGTTCAGAGTATTTCCCATTCATAAACCCTTTGAAAATCTTGGAGGAAAAAAAAAAAAACTCTACATACAAAAGTAGGAAGCTATGTCTAAATATATAACTCGGCCTGGTATTTATGTAATGCTGTTCTCTGAAGAGCTCCAAATGCTTAAAAGATACCAGCTCATTCATCCTCACTGCCTCACTGGAAGTTCTGGATCTTTCTCCTTGGTAGCCCTCAGGGGAAATTGGGGGAATCTAAAGTTGATGAGTCACCCACATCACAGGATGTGCCGCTCTTGGTGTTCTCCTGAGAACCTTTCATCCGTTCTGTGGCCAAGGTTCATTCTGCATTTCAACTGCACAGAGGGGAAACTGAGGCTCGGGGTGCCTCGGCAACTAGCACAATAGAGAGGAGAGAAAAGAACCACCGGTGGTCATGCCTCTGAACACCTTATGCATAGAACTGACGTTCTTCTTCTGGCTTAGGATGTGGACCGAGAGCTGCTTGGTGTCCGAGAGAGATTTGGGATAAGGAGCAATTGGTGGAGGGTGTGGTCAAACATTGACTTCGAGTTTGGAGTCCAGGGGCTGGAGATATGCACGTCGAGAGTCCTTGTTCTGCAGTTCAGTCCATGCGTGGAAGCATTTGAGGAGTGTTATGGGTCGGAGCAGGCTAGAACATGCCTTAGTTCTGGACAGGCAAAAGCCACCTGCAGCCTGCACTGCATTGGGGTGGCCTGGTGTGGCCTCTGGGCTTTGTCCGTCTTGCTCCTTGTGGTGGTCCCGGCACCTGGCACTGTTGTGAGCACTGAGGACCCATGGGTGGGTGGGTGTGAATGGCAATTCCTCGGAGATGGGGTATCTGTATGAGACCCCGGGGGTGTGTGAGGAGTCTTGGCCCCCTGCCCAGATTTCTCACTCCTTGACTTCCCTCATGCCTTTCTTCTCTCTCACCCCACACGACCCCTCTGCAGACCCAGCCCGTGTCCTCAACATGCCCCCTGTCATCTACGTGCCCGTGGGAATTCACGGCTATATCCGATGCCCTGTGGATGCAGAGCCACCGGCCACCGTGGTCAAATGGAACAAGGATGGCCGCCCCCTGCAGGTCGAGAAGGTGCTAGAGAGATGCATGTGGGGGTCACAGTGAGACACTCTCCTGCCACTGAGGTACTGCCTCTGAGGGTCTGGTTCCCTGCCAGGACTCCTCCACTCCCCATCAGAAAACTCTAGGAACACAGAACTGCTTCCTGTGGGGGTCTGCCATCTGGTAGAGCTTGCACCATTCTCCCAGGGCACTTAGACAGCCCCTGCCCCAGGCTAGCTGGGGCTCTGCCCGGGCCTGCCAGCTCAGGGCTGGCCTGGCAGGGGCCGGGACCGAGCTTCTGCCCCCTGACCATTGCTCCCTGCTCTGCTCTCTGTGCTCTGGCAGAACCTGGGTTGGACCCTGATGGAGGATGGCTCCATTCGGATTGAGGAGGCCACAGAGGAGGCTCTTGGCACTTACACCTGTGTGCCTTACAACACCTTGGGGACCATGGGCCAGTCTGCTCCCGCACGGCTTGTCCTGAAGGTGAGGCCTGGGGCTGAGAGTGGCCCCCGCGGGAGTGGGTACCTGAAACGCTCGACGTCATGGCCTTGCTGTGCTCTCCCTAGGACCCCCCGTATTTTACGGTGCTACCGGGCTGGGAATATAGGCAGGAGGCCGGCCGGGAGCTGCTCATTCCCTGCGCTGCTGCAGGGGACCCTTTCCCTGTCATCACGTGGAAAAAGGTACCTCTGGGTTCTGGAGCTCCTGGGAAGTGTGGCGGATGGGCAAGACCTATAGTGGCTCTGTTCTAACAGGGCCAGGTGCTGAGTAGCGGGGCTGACTTCTAGAGTGATGGGTCCTCTGGAGGAGGGGCGGCGGGGGTGCAGGCCGAGTGTGCGGGTTCTGCTCTCTTCCTGTTCTCGGACTTCTGACGTGTTGGTGGCTTCTCTTCTTCCCTGCCGACCTGGTTCCTCCCCTGCCACCCTGCTCCTGCCTTCCTCTTTGCCCCCTTGTTTGGCCAAGGTAGGGAAGCCCAGCAGAAGCAAGCACAATGCCCTGCCCAGCGGGAGTCTCCAGTTTCGAGCCCTGAGTAAGGAGGACCACGGGGAGTGGGAGTGCATCGCCACCAACGTGGTCACCAGCATCACTGCCAGTACCCACCTGACCGTCATCGGTACGGGGGCTGTGGGCAGGAGGGCTGTGGTCTGGGTGCTGGGCACTGTCCACCCTTTCTGGGCGTCTTTCCTGAATCAGCCCACCCCTGATCCTGGAGCCTGCCGCGTGTAGCCTTAGCCCTCTATAGACTCTGGGTAAGGGAAGGTGACACGGGGCCTGTCCCGGGGAGATCTTTTTCTGGCAGAATGTTTCCAGCAACACTGCCATATAGAAATGGGGCAGGTGCGTGGGCAGGGGCAACTGCTCAGAGGTCTGTGTCTAGGACCTACAAGGGGAGCTGGAAGAACGGAATGAGGGGGACCTGGGAGGGGACCCGGGCGCTGAGCTCCATAGGCTGGGCTTGGCATGGAGATTCCTGGCATTACCATTTCCTGGGGTGCCAGGTGTTATGTTTCCACTTCTTCTGCCTGAGGTGTGTGTCCCTAAGACCTCAGCTTGTACCTTTGGAGCCTGCCCCTCTGGGGACTGACAGCCAGTTGTAACGTGGCCAGCACTTTGAGCATTTACCACCAGTTTTAGGCTCTGTACCAAGTGGTGCCCCATCATTTATAACCTGTGAGGCGAGAGCTGGTAAGTCCCCAGTGTACATCCATTTGAATCCAAGGCTGGCATGGATCGCACACCTCACCGAGCATTGCATCGCTAATGAGTGCTGGGTCCAGGACCCGAACCCAAGCTGAAGTTCTTAACAGTTGTATTGTGCTGCCTCTCACTTTGATGTTCGGGTGGAATATGGCTGTCTCATGAGGCCAGAGAACTTGACAGGACGGGGGCTTTTTGGCTGTGCCTGTGACCTTAAGGGAGAGTGTCTGTTTGCCAGGTGAGCACAGGACTTTAGCCTGGGGTGACAAAGGTCCTGGTTTCCCTTTGGCCATATTCCTGTTGCTCATGCCATGTCTTGCTAGAAGGACTGGATGGCACAGCGGGACAGGTTTCCTTCTGCAGCCCTACTGCTCAGGGTGTCCGCCCCTCAGAGCATCCCTGGCCCCTGAGCGCTGCGCTTGGGGCACTGCATTTTGCTACTGTGCAGTGTGCCCCTGTGGGTGTCCAGCTCACTGGACCCAGTTCATTTCAGTCTGAGAGGACTTCACTTGGTCTCCAGGCACCAGCCCCCATGCCCCGGGCAGTGTCCGGGTCCAGGTCTCCATGACAACTGCCAACGTGTCCTGGGAGCCAGGCTATGATGGAGGATTCGAGCAGACATTCTCAGTTTGGTACGGACCTCTGTGAGTCACCCCCGCATGCTTTGCTCTCTGCTTCTCCCTCCCCCAACCCCCGACTTCAGTCAGTCCCTGGGGTGGGTAGACGTTATGAGAAGGATATGGTTCTTCGCCTGCTAGACCTCTAGGCAGTGAGGTGTGTTGACGCAGTGACTAGGTCTTGTGGGGAAGGGGTGTGTCTGTCTGAGGGATTCCGGGCATTCTGCATTCCCAGCCTGGAAGGTTTGGGATGCCAGTTTAGGTTGTTTCCTGAAGTGACCATCACCCTCTGCTGCTCTTGCCCCAGCTTATCTCATGACCCCTTTTTGTGTCCTTGGTTCCTGCTTCTTTTAGGTCCCTCTGTCCTCTGGAGTCTGGAAGAGACTCCTAATCTTCAAGGGCATTGTGAAACAGCCCAGCTGGAAGTGTAGAATCTAATTTCTATTCTGTCACTTCCCCAGTGGTTCCAGAAACCGATTTGAAGTGGTGCTTGCCTTCTGGCCTTGTCTTCAGCATCTCTATTTTCTCTAGGACCCTGTGTCTCTATTGTGTTTATATCTCTGCTGTCAATTTGGCCAGATGTAGTGATGTGAGATCTTTGCCTAAGCCTTGGGGTAGTTGAGGGATCTCAAAGATGCACAAATCAGGCTGAGGTCAGGAGGCACAGAAAAGATGGAGAGAGGAGCCATGGTGACCTCCTTCCCATTCCCCAAAGATTTCTCTTCCCACACATTCCTATCCTGAGCCAGGAACTGGCCACCTGAAGCGTGGGACATCCTTGAGCAGGAAGGATGAGTCCTCCCACTTCCTCCTTTTCAGACCTGCCTCATCTGAGTGTATGCCTGATCAGGCTCAGCCAGAGCCTGGGAAGGAGGAAACATCCCTGCAGAGGACAACTCATGGAGATTCAGGGAGAGCCCTTGATAGACTTCTCAACAGCAAGGGAGGTTGAGAGGAAGCTACCTTCTTTCCCATCATGGTGATTTGTGGATATGTCCTGAATATCCTAGGGGTTTTGAGTTCTGGATAGGCACACTGGACCTAGATGGTGAGCGTGGGGAGCTCTCTGAGTTGCAACCAGAACATCCTCCAATCCTTATCTCTGGTCCTCCGGAGGTTGGGGAGGGGGCCTGGAGTAAGGGGGAGGGGGTTGCTCCTGACAACTCTGTCAGGTGGCCACTGCAAGAATCATGGTGCTGCCGGGTGGCTGTGCGTCCAGGGAAGGACGTTTGGCATGGCCAAGCCATCTTTGGGGACATCCAAGTGGCAGGTCTGGGCGTAGATTGGGGTTTCCCTCACTGCTTGCGGTCCTGCTCCACGCTGCTGCTCATTTGCACCGCTTTATTACACTTTGCTCACTTGCTTTGGTGCCCGGGGCTGGGATGGGGGGTATGGGTGGTTGCAGAGTTTGGGGAGTTCTCCTTCCCTCCTCTCGTTCTGATTGCCTCTGACTCTCCCAGTACTGACTCAGACATTTGGCACTAGCTTCTTTTTTGCTGTGCTTTCTGCTGCCACAGCTCAAACTCCTAAGCATTCATGGTAGTGAGCCTTTAAACATAGAGGGAACCCGGTGGGCGGGCGTCCGCTAAGTTGTAGCTCAGAGCCGCAAGAAGAAAGCTGCCCAGGGTCTCAATCCCATAGGATGATGTCTCCTCCCCGTGGTGATGCCGGGGCACTGCACCTGTAGACAGCTGGCTTCATTGCCAGTGGAGAGTTAGGTGGGCGGTATAGAACAAGGCCTAACCTTCACTCCTAGTTCCAGTGTTCTCCACGCACAGCGTGACCTTCCCCTTGATGGTGAGTTCTAACCGTTAAGGCCTTAAGGATCCTGGTCCTCACTGTGGGGAAACCCCTGGTTATTTTTGTCATATACCCTAGACTTCCTCAGATGACTCAAAGCTGGTTGGACTGAGTGAGCCCTCTGGGTTACTTGACGTCCCACTTTTGGCTGTCCCTGGGAGGGTGCGCAGCTGAGGTCACCTGGGTTCTTTCCCTAGTCTGCCATTGCTGAGCTGCTCATCCTCACTTTCCCATGATGGTACCTGCCTTGTTCCTCGTGTCCTGACTTTTCTCAAGGCAGAGCCACTCTCAGCGTTGTGACCAGGGTGAGATTCTCCCAAAATGCACTTGGTAGTTTGACCAGGATCTTGAGTGTCACTTATACTTAACGGCTCCTCTTAGCAGAGGAGGTACAAGGCAGTGGCCGGCGACCTGGTACAGCCAAAGTTGGGTATTTCCCACCTTTGGTCATTACCTCCTTCTGTCCCAAAGCCTGGGAAGGCCAGGTCTGCCCACCGCCACCTCCTTGAGGACCTTGCATGCACTCTCCTGTCTCCAGTGTAACCCACCCCACCCCCTTGTCCCCGATCCTCTCTCTTTCTTTTGGCCAGGATGAAGCGGGCACAGTTTGGGCCCCACGACTGGCTGTCTTTGCCAGTGCCACCGGGACCCAGCTGGTTTCTAGTGGACGCCCTGGAGCCTGAGACAGCATACCAGTTCAGCGTCCTGGCCCAGAACAAGCTGGGAACGAGCGCCTTCAGTGAGGTGGTCACTGTGAACACTTTAGGTGAGGGCCTCAGGCTGGGGTGTCTTGAGGATATTTCCTGGAGGAGCTGAGTAAAGACAATAATGGTGGTGGTGATGGTCCTTGCAACTCACTTCACTGCTTACTATGTGCCAGGCACCTTCCTACGTGCCTTACATAATCATGTCATTTGCTCTCCCAGGGAGGACTTGTCATGCTGTTCTGTGGGGTTGGCCTGGACCATAGTGCCTTGTCCCACGTCAGAGCACTTTGGGCTAGATTCCTGTTAAGGAAGAGGCTTAGCATTTATCCTTCCTTGCTAAGCCACATGTTTGCATCTTCCTGTGGCTTCACAGGGCAGGCTGGGAATCCTGCCTCCTTCTGTGCTCTTACCGATTCTTTCCTCTGGCCCATGGCCTCGTTTGGTGGTGGGCGTGTGGCCAGTGCTCCCCGTCGAATCTTCTAGTCATGCCAACTCTTCCTTCCTGGACCCAGTGGCTCACTCCATCCCACCCCAAGAGCAGCTGTGAACAAGTGGCACCCCTCCGGCCTGTTCCTGGATCCTTTACTGCCACCAAGGGGTGCAGCAGTGATGGGATGTTTACCCCTGCTCTAGAACTTTCCTCCCTGGTCCTTGTTTTCCCACCTGGGCCAAGAAGGCAATTGAGAGCAGAAGTGAGCTATGGGAAGACATTCCTACTTCCTTAGAAGAGAACATAAGATATGTTTTGTAATATCTTTTTAAAGATACGATCTTATTTAAAAGATTACATTCAATTCTTCCATCTTCCTCACTTGGTTCCCCTTTGTTAGCTTGTCTTTTTTTTCCCTTTCCTTTTGAGCGACTCCATTCTCTCATCTATGTTTTTATTTTTTATTTTTTTTTAAGATTTTTTATTTATTTTTTGACAGAGAGAGAGAGACAGCAAGAGAGGGAACACAAGCAGGGGGAGTGGGAGAGGGAGAAGCAGGCTTCCCTCGGAGCAGGGAGCCCGATGTGGGGCTCGATCCCAGGACCCCGGGATCATGACCTGAGCCGAAGGCAGACGCTTAACGACTGAGCCACCCAGGCGCCCCGCATCTATGTTTTTAGAAGTGCTCAGAAAGTAGGATCATGTGGGCCACTTCCCTTGGGTGAGGAGGGCTCTTTTATGTGACAGTCTTGTCCCTGAAATGACTCATGCAAGGGAATGTGATACATTCTGAGGGACACATGATGAGCCAGAAGACAGCATGTAGGGAGGTGAGGGAGCAGTGACCTCAGCACCACCATGCCCCTTCTCTCTCTCTTCCCTCTGTGCTGCAGCATTCCCTATCACAACTCCAGAACCCCTGGTGCTGGTTACCCCACCGAGGTGCCTCACAGCCAACCGGACCCAGCAGGGTGTACTCCTGTCTTGGCTCCCCCCTGCCAATCACAGCTTTCCCATTGATCGCTACATCATGGAATACCGTGTCGGGGAACACTGGGAGATCTTAGATAGTGCCATCCCAGGCACTGATGGAGAGTTCTTTGCCAAGGATCTGTCACAGGTGAGGTGCCCAGCTTTTCCCTGCTGCTGTTCCCAAATTCTGAAAGTGACACGACTCGCTGGAGTCACCGGAAGCTTTGAGTGACCCAAGTCAGGTGTACGAGGCCCAGCCATGTACTGTCCCCCTCCACACCAATTCCTTTATTCTCAGATCTGCTACCAAAGTCTGGAATCCTCAGGTCATGGCAACTGAGGGGAGGTGAGGAGCCCCGAATGTGTAACTAGAGAGTGACCTCAGCTCCCTGCTAGGAGTCTAACTTCGGCTGGGCAGAGGATTTCCCAGAACGATAGTCTTCAAGCTTTGCCCAGGGAAGGACCCCTGCTTTAACAATTTAGACTCCCTGGAGGAAGATACATTATTTTTTTTTTCCCAGCTGACCCCCTTTAAACTTTGATGTCTCTCTAGCTGGAGAGAGGAAGCAGCTTATTTCATGGATACAGACAATCCCATCTATCTTTCTGTCTTCCTTCCCTGGACACTCATTTAGTGGTAGAACTGGCTCATGGGGGCTCCTAAGAGAGAGCCCATATTGTGTGCATCTCTTTCCAACTCTGCTTTCAGTGACCTCACAGTTGTAGATTGAAATCTGCCACGGTGGGAGTATTTTTACCATGGAAATTGGCAAATGCTACAAATCAGGACTTTTTTTTTTTAAACTGAGAGCTGGTTGTTCATCACTTCCAGTATGCCACTGCTTTGGGTACCCTGTTCCATGAGAGATCATTGCAGGGTGGGTGGGGGAGGTCAGTAGTGGGTCAGTGGCTGTCTCAGGTCTGTAGGCTGACAGGGTCTTGTCCTGGGGGCTGTAGGACACCTGGTACGAATTCCGGGTTCTGGCCGTCATGCAGGATCTGATCAGCGAGCCCAGCAACATCGCCGGCGTCTCCAGCACAGGTACTTGGCCGGGGGGTGGGAGCGGGTGGGGGGGGGTGGGGGGGTCTGTTACAGCTGTAGGATACAAGAGCCATGTGGATGTCCTTTGCAAGATAGCTAATATGGGGAGGGAGGATGAAATGGAAACGAGAGCTCTGGTGGAAACTGAGTCACTGCATTTCTTAAGGTCACCGCATTTCTCCAACCCATCCTTCTGCTTCCATGATGGACAGGATTTCTCCAACTAAAGAGCTGCATTTATGACACTTTCTATAAGATAGCCACAGGGAGAAATGTAGCTCATCTTCTCATGATAGTAGTCAAAAAGAACTTGGTTTATGTTCTTTTGCTATAAAATCCCTGTTTCCTCCAGTGCTGTCCTCTGTAATGGACTGGGGTGGTGAATTGGAGAGACAGCAGGTCAGCACATATTTGCTGAAGGCCTATTATAAGACTGCTTTATAATTATGGTGGTTTTGTTTGGAAAATTGCTGTTTGGTGTTGTTTCCTCCACTCCTTCGTCTCCCTAGATTTTATTCAGGCTAAATAAAGCCAACTCCCTAGCATTTTCCCCACTTATCTTTCTTTCTCTTGGCCCTGGTCCCATTTCTACACATCTTTCTCTAGCTACGGTTCCTGAGACAGCAGAGCCCCTCCCTTGCCCAGTGAAGTGGCTAAGGCCCTTGGTATGGGAAGAGGCTTTTGCTTAGTGATTAAGCAATGGCACCATTTCCATGGGCATTGCTCACACAAGGACCTGCGGGACCAGCTGGCAAGGAGCTTGGCCAAGAAGCTCATGCAGCAGGACTCACAGAGCTACAGAAGCACCAGGGCAGGCAGACTTGGGGAGGGACGGGGAGGACCCAAGTGGCACCAGAGCACTGGGGGCCGTGGGGTGTGACTTTTGCCTCATGTGAGACACGATGGCACCATGGACCTTTTTTTCTTTTCTTCCTTCCTTCTTTCCTTTCTTTCTTTCTTTTTTTTTTTTTTTTTACTACAAAAGTACCCTGTCTTGGCTTCCTTCCAGGGAGGGGACTCAGAGAGAAGAAGGAGCAGGGAACAGAGCTTAAAGCCAAGGCCAGAATAGAAAACTTGAGGGTTTTCATCAGTGAACTGTTCTGTGTTCAGTGGCTTTATGTCTGGCACCTGAAAGGAAGCCCAAATACCGGGAAGACTCCCCATGGGTGAATGAAGGCACAGCGCCCTCAGCCGCCCGTCTCTGAGCCCCCCATTCCCAAAGGCTATAGCATTCCATTTGCCCACTCATCAGCATGATTTGGGTTATTTTCATCCATTGTTCTTTTCAGCAGAACGATGGGCTCTAGCCAAATATATCAGAATCCACAGAATCTAAAGAGTGGCACTTTCTATTATAACTGACTTTGAAGTGGGGTACAGTAGATGGGGGTCTAGTTCTGGCTCCGTCACTAACAAGCAGTATGGATTTGGGCACAAAGTGAAACTCACTTCTTTACCTGTAAAATGAAATTGGACCTGCGTTGAATGTCCCTGCTGGCTCCAGCATTCTGAACCCGAAATGACCAGGATGTGCTCACCCTCCCTGTAGAAATTGCTCAGCTGTGCTGTAATGACTTAGAGATGGATGGATCTGAATTCTGTAGTCACAACCTCTTCTCCCTGCTGTAGTATTTTACCCTCAAGGTGCCTCCACAGTAAGTTCTCATTTTGTCAAGATGGCATGGCAGAAGGCAGCAAATCCTAACAGGAGGCCAGAGGTATGGTGTCGTGCAGACACTGATAGGCAATATTTATGTCCGCAAGTCACTCAAACTCTGCCAGCGACACTTTCTTTACCTTAGAAAATGAGAGCGATGGCATGTGGTCTGTTGGCCTCATGTGAGGGTGTGTGGTAGTATGCATGAGAACCCTTTGCAAAAAGCACTAGCCAGGTAGACATTATTACCGAAATTATCACCGCTATGGGGTAAGACATAGATGTGATTCCTTCTTTCTAAGCTCTGTAGCGATCACTTGACTTCCGTAAACTAGTCTCTCTTCAAGTGCTAGAGTTGAGCATGGAGCCTGAGCCTGTTCTGCAGAGGTAGGGAACAGTGCTGGGGGGCTAAGTGTCAGAGTAGGTGGGGGCTTTTACAGGAGCGAGGGGAGGAATCATGCATGCTCCTTGCACCGCCCTGCAGACATCTTCCCACAGCCGGACCTGACTGATGAGGGGCTAGCTCGGCCTGTGTTGGCTGGAATCGTAGCTACCATCTGCTTCCTGGCAGCTGCCGTCCTGTTTAGCACCCTGGCCGCCTGCTTTGTCAACAAGCAGCGCAAGCGTAAGCTCAAGCGCAAAAAAGGTGGGTGTCTGCCCCCACCGCCCTGCTCTACCTGGCCCAGTTTCAAATGCTCCCCATTGGAAGAGATGGCCCACTTTTAGCACAGGCCCCTTGAAAATAGGGAAATGGGGTCTTGTGGGTAGGACTGTCAGCGGGCCTTGGTCTGGAAGAGGGAGTAAGGGAGAAGGATGCTGGGGAGGGTGTGATGGGGCCAGAATGTGAGAGAGGGCAGGTCTGTGGTGGTGGGCACAGGACTCGGGACTGGGCCCAAAGATACCTAACCCTGGAAGGAGCTGCTCCCCTCTGTGGCTTTGCTATGGGCCCTGTGGACACGTGAGACGAGTTTTGTGTCCCTGGCCTCAGTAGGCTCTCCTCCCCTTCTTCTTCCTTCCAGATCCTCCACTCTCCATCACTCACTGCAGAAAGAGCCTAGAGTCTCCGTAAGTGCCTCTGCTGTTGTGCTGTGTGGACAGAGGGTGGAGGGTGGACACAGGCAGGTGGTGTGCTCCGCTCGGCCCCCAGACCGTGTCTCTAAAGTGTTGGCTGTCCACTGATCTGCACGGTATTTTTAAGTTGCACAGAGGGGGCAGTACTGTAGACAGTGAAATTAGAGGTGTAGCTGGACAGAGCGGGGCAGACAGGAAGGGCAGGGCAGGATGAAAGGTGGAAATGTGGGTGTTCATTCAAAAAACGGCCAGCACACATCTAGACAGTGGAGCGTTGGCCAAAGTATTTCATGCCAAAATATGCAGCCCATCTGCACCTCTTTTTTTGAGTATTATCTTAGGTGTTTGTGGTTATTCATTAAGAGGAGAAAAAGAAGAGGAGGAGCAAATGTCCCCCACCTCACACTCCTGCTCCCCCACTCACCCCCACAGCTTGTCATCTGGCAAGGTGAGCCCCGAGAGCATCCGCACGCTCCGGGCCCCTTCGGAGTCCTCCGATGACCAAGGCCAGCCAGCGGCCAAGAGGATGCTGAGTCCCACCCGGGAGAAGGAGCTGTCATTGTACAAGAAGACCAAGAGGGCCATCAGTAGCAAGAAGTACAGCGTGGCCAAGGCCGAGGCCGAGGCCGAGGCCACGACGCCCATTGAGCTCATCAGCAGAGGCCCCGATGGCCGCTTCGTGATGGATCCCTCTGAGATGGAGCCCTCGATGAAGAGCAGGCGCATCGAGGGCTTTCCCTTTGCCGAGGAGACGGACATGTACCCCGAGTTCCGCCAGTCGGACGAGGAGAATGAAGACCCGCTGGTGCCCACATCTGTGGCTGCCCTGAAGTCCCAGCTGACCCCTCTGTCATCTAGCCAGGAGTCCTACCTGCCACCACCAGCATATAGCCCTCGGTTCCAGCCCCGTGGGCTGGAGGGCCCCGGCGGCCTGGAAGGTCGGCTCCAGGCCACAGGCCAGGCCAGACCTCCCGCCCCCCGGCCCTTCCACCATGGCCAGTATTATGGGTACCTCAGCAGCAGCAGCCCTGGGGAAGTGGAGCCGCCACCCTTCTACATGCCAGAAGTGGGCAGCCCCTTGAGCTCAGTCATGTCCTCCCCACCCCTGCACACTGAGGGGCCTTTCGGCCACCCCACCATTCCTGAGGAAAACGGAGAGAACGCTTCCAACAGCACGCTGCCCTTGACTCAGACACCCACAGGAGGGCGCTCCCCTGAGCCCTGGGGCCGGCCAGAATTCCCCTTTGGGGGACTGGAAACCCCGGCCATGATGTTTCCCCACCAGCTGCACCCCTGTGATGTAGCCGAGAGTCTGCAGCCCAAGGCCTGCCTCCCCCGAGGACTGCCCCCCACCTCCCTGCAGGTGCCCGCGGCTTACCCGGGCATCCTGTCTCTGGAGGCGCCAAAGGGTTGGGCAGGCAAGTCTCCAGGCAGAGGCCCCGTCCCAGTGCCCACCTCCGCTAAGTGGCAGGACAGACCTATGCAACCTCTGGTGAGCCAAGGGCAGCTAAGACATACCAGCCAAGGTATGGGCATACCCGTGTTGCCTTACCCCGAGCCGGCCGAGCCCGGGGGGCACAGTGGCCCCAGCACATTTGGCCTGGACACCCGGTGGTATGAGCCCCAGCCCCGGCCCCGGCCCAGCCCCCGGCAGGCCAGGCGCGCCGAGCCCAGTTTACATCAAGTGGTGCTACAGCCCTCCCGGCTCTCGCCTCTGACCCAAAGCCCCCTCAGCTCCCGCACCGGCTCCCCTGAGCTTGCCGCCCGGGCCCGGCCTCGCCCGGGCCTCCTGCAGCAAGCGGAGATGTCGGAGATCACCCTGCAGCCACCGGCCGCTGTCAGCTTCTCTCGCAAGTCCACGCCATCCACGGGCTCCCCTTCCCAGAGCAGCCGCAGCGGGAGCCCCAGCTACCGGCCCACCATGGGCTTCACCACGCTGGCCACAGGCTACCCCTCCTCTCCGCCGGGCCCTGCAGGGCCTGCGGACAACCTGGATGTGTTTGGACAGACGCCTTCCCCTCGAAGGATGGGGGAGGAACTGCTCAGACCAGAGCCCCCCCCACCGCCTTTACCTACTTCAGGGTGAGTGTGAGCTGGTTTCTCCCGCCCACCTCCACCTGGTCATCTTCCACCCCCCATTCCTTCCCCACCCTCCGCCCCTTCCATCAACCCAAATGACAGGGCTTGTCTGGACATGCTGCAGCATCCCTTCGGGAGAGTTCTGGTCTTGGCATCAGCAGGGTGTGGTCATGGGGTTGAGGGTGGGGCTTACCTGCCCAGGTACCCTGCCAAGAGCATGAGGGAGCCTCTCTACCCAGCCCAGAGCTCTCAGGAAGACCCCAGGGTGATGGGGAGTGGACACACATGGGCAAGTGGGGGGTGGGGGCCGGGTACATGGTGTGTCCGAGTGAGTGGTCACCTCAGTTACTCTTAGAGTGGAGAGTTCTCCACATCCCTGTGATCCTGGCTTTGGGGGTGGTTCCAGGGTTTACCCAGAGACCTCGTATCCAGCCTCCTTTCCTCCCCTGACCCATCCTCCCTGCTAAGCAGGACCGTGAAGCCTGATTTTCCTGGGCCACCAGGCCTGGGGCTCCTCTTCCCAATCTCCTGCCCTTAGCAGCCTAGTGAGCGCGGGGGGGGGGGGGGGGAAGCCCCCTCCCACAAGCTCTCCAGGGGGCACATCCTGGAGGCTGGGAGCAAAATCTCAGGCCTGTGAACTGTGTGCCCGGAGCCACATACCCTATCCCAACCTGTGTGCCTCGCAGGAAGCTGCAGACAGACAGACAGACAGACAAGGTCCTGCGGTCAGCCTGCCTGAGAGAGCACACTCTAAACTGTAGCAGCTGGTATTCCAGGTACCAGAGTCGGCCTGGACGCCCATCTGTGCCTCTTTTTCTCTCGTCTTTTTTCCCCTGCCCCCCCTTCCCTCCTCCTCCCCCTCTCCCTTCCTTCCTCCTCAAGTCTGGCTTTCTTTCTGTCTGTCTTTCTTCCTTCTCCATCTTCTTTGGGTTGGCCCGACTTGCTCCGAAGAGCTTGCAACGTCTCTGGAGTGCCCCCCTCCCCGCCCCCGGTCCCTGCTGCCCTCCCTCCCTCTCTCTCTTTCTCTCTGGTTCCGTCCTTTGGTCTCTCTTCTTGATGTGGCCGCCTGTGCAGGGGAGCAGAGTGTTCCAGAGGAGGCTGGCCCGGTGGTAGGCAGGATGGGAGGTGGTTGGAGAGGAGGGAGCCCAGCGCCCTTCCCCCGCCCCGTGCACTCCCACCCTCTCTGGTACCTGGAAGTACAGCTTCTCCTCCCACTGGCCCCTGGTCCTGGTGGGCGGAGAAGGTGGAGGAGAGCTCTAGCTAGGACGCCGGGCTTGGCGTGCCCACGGGACCCCGTGCCTCTGTCTGTGCAGGAGATGCTGTCGCCGCAGCCCTGTCGTCTGTGCTTTGTGCAGCGCTCATCTGCCTCGTCCATCGTGCCGTTGGTTCTCTGTCTCTCTCCTCTCCTTCCCCTCACCCCATTCTCTGGCCTCGCTTGTGGTTCTCTGGCCCCTGTGCTCCTCCCCTCCTCCCCTCTGGGTGTGCGTGGGTGGTTTGCCCACGGCCCGTGTTGATAACTGCTTTGTTTCTGATTGATCTCAGCTATCTGGGCAGTGTTGTCGAGACAAGCCTCTCCTCAGCTCAATAGGTAAGGGAGCTCCGCGGCCGGGGCGGGGCGGGGGGTGGACAGGCGGACGGGGCTTCGGCAGGGCCATCGCTTCCTTTATAGGGGAATCCAAACCATGTCCCCTCACCCCCTCTGTGGGCAGCAGCCTTCGCTGCTCCATACGCCACGGCTTCTGGGTTCCCCACATCATGCTGCTCTAACAGCCTCACCAGGCCACGCTCGGGCACCGCCTAGCTGAAGCTTCCGACCCCCACCCCACATGCCAAGCCTCTCCCAGAGCCTCCCTGCAGTTTTCCTCACTCAGACCCCTGCTGCCAACACACCCAGGGCCTCCCACAGAAGCCCCCTGGAACCCTGCATGCACCCCAAGAGGCCTAGAATGCCTACAATCCGCTTTGCATCTCTGCACCTCTGGAAACATCAGGGCCACACTCAGATCCAGAATCCCCCCTCACCCCACCCTTTGCCATATTTTCCCAGCAGCCTCAGGCATAGTGCCCCCTCCACTTCCATCCTAGCCCCCCAGAGACTCAGATCTTCCTCTGGGGTTGCTGGTCCCTCACAGTCTTCTTGGGATCTTTCTAATATTCTCAAGGAGCACAGGGTTGGGGTGTGGCCCATCTCCTCCCCTCACCAGCTGGGACCAGGTCACCTGTAGTCCTGTGAGGGCAAGGGCAGGGGAATGTCCCCACTTCCCATGTCCCTTGCCTTCGGTAGCCCGTTCTTGGTTGTAACAGGACTGAGATGTGGACCTCGCCCTCAGGTTCAAATTGCTTTCAGGATCCCTGTAGTAGCCATTTCTGATCTCCTTGGGTCACAGCTCTAGGGTCTTGGGAGGGGTTCCGCAGGGGGAGAGGACAGACTTCCCCCGGGTGGGAGGAAGTTGAGCGGGGAAGCACTGTCTCCTTCCTCTGCTCTCCGCCGAGGTTGGTCCTCTTCTGGCATTCTTCCAGGTGGAGGTCTTGGGAACTTGGCTATTTCAGAGGGGTAGCAAGTCTCTTATAGAGGCTTAGGGCACCTGAGACTCACTGTCTCTCATGGCAACTAAGATGCTTCTTTTTGCCATGGACCTATTGCCTGCGCCTCTGAGAACAAGCAGTGTGGGAGCAGGAAAGCTTCCTGGTTTCTCTAGGTGAGAAACAGCTGCATCCCTCGCCCACCTAGAAATGTCAAGGGGGGCTGATGATCCTAACTCAGGACTTTAAGTCTTCAGTCCGAAGAGTGGCCTCCCATAAGGAGAACTGGACTGCTTTGCCATTTCTTTATGATCTGCAGCTATAAACTTGTTAACAGTCAAGAGGCCCTGGGATTGTCTCTGAGGCTGGTTGGGTGCCACACTGTGGCCATTAACACTGGAGAGAGCAGGGAGGGTGTCAGGAAGGAGTTATGAGCCTACCTTCATGAGGGGCCTCCTGTGGCCTGCTGGATGGATGCCCCAGAGTGACAATGACCGGACCATCCTCCACCTTCCCTGCTCTCCTTCCCTGAACCCCAGTTATGACCACTCTGTCACCCCCAGAGAGGTGATAGCTGCAGGGCCAGCTGTCACTGCACTCCTGGAAAGTGCCTGGACCCCATTCCCCATTGTTACCGCCACTTCCCTCACCCAGTTGTTGACCCCTCTCTCCACCACATCCCCACTGCACCAGATCTGAGAGCTGAGCTGTCATACTGTCCCTGCTGTGGCAAACCCAGAAACCAAGGGCAGCGCTGAGGGCGAATTGGTTCCTTGGGGGCCTAGCAAGCATCCTCAGCCTAGGAGAATAACGTGCTCCCCGCAGCCTTGGAGTTAGATCTTGATGGTGCTGGGCAGCAAGAGCCACCTCTCACTCCTGCTTGCTGAGAGCCTCCCCCCGGGCGCGGTAGCTGCTGGGGCCATTGGGAGGCGTCAGGCTCCTCTTCAGACGCTGTCTTCATGCTGCGCCTTTGCATGTTTCTCCAGTCGGTCTTGCTTGGAGAAGATGTGACACGTCTTGTCTACGTTCGTTCTTGCTCTGTTCCTGTTTCCTTCAGTCTCTCTCCTGTTCCTTCTCCCCCCCTGTACCTGCAGTGGTCTTCCCCCCCTCTCCTCCTTTCTCTCTCTCCTTTTTCTCCTCTTCCCAACTCCCATCTTGGAGCGGGGAGTTGTAGTTCATGGACCTGCCCTTTCTGGGGCCGGCTGGGAGGCCGGCAGTTTTCTCGGCTTCCTGTCTCATACCAGTTAACAGCTCTCTTCTCACCTCCCCCTCGAGCCCCCCTGCTGTTAGTGCCGACTTTGGCCTCTCTGATCAGGTGGGTCTGGGAGGGTGGATGGCCCCCCCCTTTTACTGGTGGACCGTAGGAAGGAGCTCCCATTTGGAAACAAGTCTCTCCTGAGCCCTGAGGCCAAACACTGGGTTTGTCCCCTGACCCCACTGGAGAAAGTTGTCATCTCTCGTTACAGCTGGGTGGGAGCTGACCTCCGCAGTCCTGGCTTTCTGTTTTATAAGTGGAGAATGGCGGGGTGGGGACCTTTTTCCTGGCCGTGCCCTGTACACAAGTGGATTTCCTCGTCCCCCTTCCACGGTCTAAGGTCAGATGAGCAGAGTCTACTGTCAGGCGGTTAGGAAAAGGAGGAAAACACTCCTTAAATCACAGGGGCAGCCGCCAACTGTTGAAGTGGTCAGCCCTTAGGGCAGTAAGGGCAGGAACTGTCCAGTGGATTCTGACTTTTCTGACCTGTGGTTTGCCGACTTTTTAGACCTTTTTGTCTGTGTCTTTTCTCCACTATTCTGGGAAAGCACAGAGCTAAGCAGCCAAGGCCCCAGGCTAAATGGTTGTGATTTGGGTTTTGTATGGATTTTATGAAAACAGAGAGGGAGAGAGAGAGTAAATTCCAGGCAGTTTTTGGTAGTTCTAAACCACAGAGAAACATCACTGGGACAGAGAACTGGGGTTTAGGGGGAACTCCATATGACATGGAAGATCCAGAAAAACCTCTAGGCTTTTAGGCCTCATACTCTTACTTTCTGTGAGGAGGAGAGCCCCAGAGTTTGCTGGATTCCTATATGTTTTAGAAGAATTGGATTGGATTGGGAAGAGAACGGTGACCTCCATTTCTTAGAGAGCCCACGGTTGGATGCTGTTCTAACAGAGTAACCTACTGGTCAACCTCAGATTCACTTACCAGCTTTATTCCAGGGATAGGATGAGGTTGCTTAACCCAAGCTTTCCACTGTCTGACAGAGAGCAGCACCAAAAGCTTCATTATCTGATAGGTCCCCTGTGGGCTTGATATTGACTGGGGACATGGTCACGCGTCCTAGAAAAGAGAGACAATTTGATTCCAAAGGGCTTTACATGCTACAGGTAAAGTCTGTTGGGCCGCATTTCACATATGTCTTTTCTGTATAATTTGTTAAAAACAAAGATCCATTTTTGCCCCCTCTTCCCCCCCCTTCACCCCATCCTCCCAGACACTTGCTTTTATTTTTCCCTCCTGCATCGGTAGAGTGTCTTGGTGCCCCCAGGAGCCTTCTGTCATGTTTCTGTGTTTGAGCACTGAGCTCAAAGAGAAAACAGGTGGACAGCAGGTGGCCTGGAAGGGCTGGAGCTTGGCTCTTTCACAAGGGAAAATTGGCTTATCCTCCTCAGTGGTTCATTACTGTTTGGGAATTTTTGCCTGAAGATATAACTTCAGCCAGCTTTTCCCCATCCCTGGCCTGTCTTACCCTGGCCATGCCACTGAAGCAGAGAATGTCAGGGACTACCACAGCAGGGTGAAGTGACTACCACTCAGGTGAAGTATGGGAGCGCTGTTTTCTTCTAGATAGCTTCTGGGCCTGTTTCCTTTAGGAGGAAGTTGGAAGAGCAGTTTAGCCTAATGTTGAGAGTCTTGGCTCTATCACATAATAACTGGATTAGTAGACAAGCTGCTTAACCCTACGCATTCAGTATTTCCCTCTGAGAAACAGGATCAGTCTAGTATTTACTTCTTAGGGTTGTTGTAAGGATGAACGCAAACTATTGTAGGGACCATAGACCATTGCTTAGTATGGTAAGTGGTAAATCAATGCTGTGTGACAGAAATGATAAAGGTAATGATGTGTTAATTTTAGTAATAATATTCTTGGAAGTTTCACCTTGCTTCGAGAAACCCTAGGAATGTTTTGGGGCGCCCTGAGCCAGTTCTCTCATGCCCTCCTGGATCACCCTGGGTTTTATGGTTTAAACACTGCTCCCTGGGGCCACTTGCTTGTCATATGCCTCCTCGGACCATGCGTCGCTCACCTTGTGTGGTCTTTTTGAAGAGGCTGGCCAGGACCAGGAGACAGGTAAACTGAACGGCTGATTCATACCTCTGATTTTCCTTTTAGGTAGCTGAAGAAGCCCTAGTCAAGGATGAGAAGGGGGTGAGGACATTCCGCCAGCATGGCAGAGTCATGCTCCCTCATACCCTAGCCATCTCCACCCTTTGCCCACCTTCCAGGTTCCTTTGCAGCCACTGCCGCTGCTGTGTAGGATCTCTGTGGGTAGAGTCTGAAGGAGGAGGGGACGGGAAATTTGCAGGTTGCATCTTTGGGGGTGGAAGACCTGACTTCTCACGGTGCGTTGGACTTCTGTCTGAGACCATGTGTTGCCTGTGTGTGTGTGTGTAGGTGGGGCCCTTGAGCTCCATGCTGTCAGGGGGATATGGAAAATCTAGAAGCTGTGTCTGACCTGAACTTTGGAGGAGCTTCTTGATACTTTATTTACTAAGAGGCTATGGAATGATGGCATTCATTAAAGAAGATGGAGGTTGCTTCATTGCCAGTTAATGCAGGAAACCCCAGAGACCAGAGGCTTATCAACAATTAGTCTGTAAGTTTTTTCTTCCTTCATCCCCACAAGTATGACCAGTACTGGGGAGATGGGGCTGCAGACCCCCATCCCTCTGTCATTGTTGTGCTGCTTCGGATTGCTTGCTCACTACTGGGCACTTCTTTTCCCCTCACAGGGTTGGCTGTCCTCCTTTTAATCAGGAGTTACCCAAAGCCAATGTGATGGAGTTGGAAGAGGGAGATGTGGGGACTGAGGAAGAGTGTGATTCACCTCAGTGCACTGTGGCCCTAGAATGTCCCTACTCCCCTGATGGTATGCGAATGCCAGTCCTGGCGGGAAGGAAAGAGCAACTCCTCTCTCTCTGCCTTTATTCCTCGGGCTCCAAGTTTGGCTTACTTTGAGAAGAAATGACATTGATAACATGTCTTCTAGATTTTCTTTTATGACTCTTGAAAAATTCTCTCCAACATGCACCGGTTGTCACAGCCAGTTCATCCTCTCGGCTCCCTCTGGTCCCCTTTGTCACAGGGGCTGCTCAGGCTCCAGGGGAACTGTGGGCTCTGTTCTAACCTCATGGTTGATCCATCAGGCACATGACAGCATCCGCCCCGAAGCTGGGGGAGAAGGAGAGACCGACATACGTGGCGTCTCTCCCAACCCCAGTTTCTCTACTGAATATCAAGATGTAGAGATTCACTTGGGCACTTGCTACCGAAGGCAAGGGCTTTGCAAGGCTGCCAGATTTGGACACTAACCGTCGTAATCTACTTTCACCTTCTTTTATTCTCGTGCGTGACTGATGACATCTGAGCCTAGTCTGCAGAGGTCCAGGGAGACCCACCCTGCTGAAATGTGGGTAGATGACAAGTATTTGTTGCTGTTAGCTGCTGGGGTTCTGCCTCACTCTGGTGGACGGAGGGAAAGAAGCCCAGTGAAGCTGGGTTTTATGTACCCTCCCCCTCACTGGATATTGGGTTTCTCATTTGGCCCTGGCCTTCTCTTTTCTGGAGGAGGACAGTTCACTGGGATGGGGTTCCTCACCTCCTGCTTTGACCCACCCTTTTACTTTTCACTTAAAGGTCGTGATGATTTCTAACAACTTTGGGCAGTGAAGCTGCTTTCTTCTCTGACCTTCCTCCTCCCCGTTTGAGTGGCATGTGATGAGGCTCACTATTAAAGTCTCTCTCTCCCTTTCTTAGGTCTTCTGGTTGCTCTACAGATTGGTTTCCATCTGAGGCAGGCCTTCCACTGCTGGAGCTTTCTACTGGCCTTTCTCCTTTCCAGGAGCAATCAAGAGGCAGGTGTCAAGGAACCACTGTGGACACCTGGGACTCTGTCCTCCTGTGGGTCGGCTGTATGGTTTTCTTCCAGCCCCTCTTCAGAAGCTCCCTCTTCTGGGAGCTGACCTGTGCCTCTCTAATTGTCCCTTCCAGAACACATCCACCTGCACCCGAGAATGCTGCTGTACCTGAGAGGCTGGAGGCTCTGAAATACCAACGGATAAAGAAGCCCAAAAAGTCATCCAAGGGCTCTTCGAAGTCAAAGAAAAGATCCGGTAAATGGCGGATCCTCTCTTTTCCCCCTCTCTCCGCCGTTATTATGGGATTGTTTGGCTCAGGATCCCATCCTTGGGTTTTCTCTAGAATTAAATCCACTGGCTTATGTTATTGTCTCTTTTTAATATTAATTACCAAATAATACATAAATATAATTTTCATGTAAAAATTAGAAAGATAAAGTCTCTGATTGTCCTCCCAGTTGTTTCCTCTCCCTGGGAGCCATCCTTCTTGGTAGTATGCATGCTTTCAGAGCCTTTCTGGGCATACACCTCTCAAAAATACATTGTATTGTTTTAATGCATTTTTAAATAACATAAGTAGTATCTTATTTTTTTCCATTCTGCCATATGCCTTTTGGAACTATCCCTATTTCCTTATATATTTCTTCTCTATTATTTCAGACCTTCTAGTTGGATGTGGGAATTATGGGGTCCTACTCATTGCTTAGGGGACATCATGGCATGGACCCAGCCTCTGCAGGATGACCAAACTTCTCTCAGTGAGATAGAATGAAATCTCCTTATCATAGAAAGGATGTTTCTATTGAAATATATCTGATGTTTATATCCAGCAGTGATCAGTAGCTGCTAAGATAGTGCAAAAATGATTCAGCCCTTTTTCACACTTAGAAAATTCTTTAGTATTTATCATGTACTCTTTTTTTTTTTTTTTACCAATAGTTTTTAGGAATCTTGTCACAGGCTATCAAAAAAAGACAGCTGAACAGTTTCCTTGCAGATCTTTAATAACTACTGGAGAGTAACTTTCTTTAGAGACTGGGTTATGGAAAATTGTTCTACAGAGGTTCCTGGAATCTTCAGAAGACAGTGAGCACTGTTTCTCACTTAGCCTTTGGGTGGTGCTATTATCCTATTTGTTTATAGATGGGAGTACTGAGGCAGAAAAGAGGAAGATGATTTTTTTAGGGTTTGGTTGAGAAATTGGAGCCCAAAGCTGAACGTTCAACCCACTGAAGCCCATTGCAGTTGAAGAACCAATATACCGACCTACCTACATATCTATGTTTTGTTTTGTTTTAACAAAAAGAGCCACCTCAGATGCCTGTACTCCCTCTTATTCTGTCACACCATCCTGTTCCTTGTAATATGTTGATGGCTCTCCAATGTCTGTTTTTAGCCCCGGTCTCTTCCATGAGCTCGAGTCTCATATTTCCAGTTGCCTGCTGAACACGCACTTAGATGTTTTGTAAGCCTTTGAAATATCCAAAATAGAGTTATTGATTATCCTCTCCAAATCTGCGTCTCCTCACTTCCTCCCCAGCTTCTTAAATAGCACTACTAACTACCTCGCTTCTCGGGCTACTTCAGCCTTGCTTCTTCTCTTGCTCTCACACGTCCCTTCCAATCCATTTGGTAAGGTCCTTGGGCCCAACTTTTACAGCAGATCCTAAATCTGACCACTCTTTTTTTATTTTATTTTTTTAAAAGATTTTATTTATTTATTTATTTATTTATTTATTTATTTATTTATTTGACAGAGAGACACACAGTGAGAGAGGGAACACAAGCAGGGGGAGTGGGAGAGGGAGAAGCAGGCCTCCCGCTGAGCAGGGAGCCCGATGAGGGGCTCGATCCCAGGACCCTGGGATCATGACCTGAGCCGAAGGCAGACGCTTAACGACTGAGCCACCCAGGCTCCCCAAATCTGACCACTCTTTCCCACCTCAATTGCTATAACTAAATTCTGAGTTACTGTGATTCCCACCCTGATTATTGCAGTCGCCTCCTAGCTGGCTGTCCTGCTCCATCCTTGCTCCTTCTACAGTATATTCTACACTCAGCAACTCGAGTGATCTTCATAAAATGTAACAGCATGGTCTTTCAGTCATGGCAATGTGCGCACACACACACATACACATATCTGATGAAAACCTTCCGGAAGCTTCCCACTGCAACCAGAGCAGATTTCAAACTCCTTATGATACCTTTCTCCGTCTTTCCTGCCTCGCTGTCCTCTGCTCGCTCTGCTTCAGCTATGGTAGCCTTCCTTCTTTCTCTGAAACATTTTACATTGGCTCTTAAGCCATGGATTTCACTTTTGCCCCTCCTTCTGTTGGGAACACTTCTCCCCCAAAGCTTCAGAAGTCTCGTTGTCGTTCAAGACTCACATGTGAAAATAGAACCGTGCTTTAGTCCTTTGCTCTCACATGGCCCTGTTTTCATCTTTCTTTGTAGGGCTTTCAGTATCTGGAAATTTCATTTCTGTATTTTTTAAGTCCTTAATGTTTGTCTCTTCCTCCTCACCCCACACTAAAGCATAGTTTCTAGAAACCCAGCACTTTACTGCCGTATCTGCCGAAGAACCGTGAGACAGAGGAGTGGCCCTGGCAGTGTAGAAAGGGCCACGCCTGGCTCTATGGCAAGGATGGAAATCTTGGGTAAAGTCCGTCACTGCTGGGGGAGAATGGGGGTGAAGAAAACGTACTGAGTTCCAACCCATTCTTTGAAGCCCTGATCCCCAACACCTAGAATGATGCTTGGTGCCCGGGAGGCATTAAAAAGGAAATACTGATATTACTCTAATAACAATTAAAATTCTAGAAACACTAGGTAACAGATTTAAATAAAAATATTTAATATTAAATAAAAGAGGCTGGGCCAAAGGGACTGATGGGTCACTGGTGGTGAAGACGGGGGTTCTCTGCTGCAGTTGCCTCATTTTCATGCTAGAGAGCCAGGATATACGTCTCAGCAGATGAAAAAGGTGGGCGTGTGAGGTTACCACCTTCGCTTTCACCCACTTTATTTTCTTCCCATTTGTTTGGTGCACCTGTTCCCTTCTCCCTAGACGGTTCTGCCTCCCAGGCTCAGCAGCTTCCAGACTCCCAGGTTCTGTGGCCTGATGAAGCCGTCTGCCTCCGAAAGAAGAAGAGACATTCTCGGCCTGACCCCTTTGCCCGCCTCTCAGACCTGTGCCACCGCCAGCTTCCGGAAGACCAGACGGCGATTCTCAACAGCGTGGATCACGACGACCCCGGCCACGCCACCTTGCTGTGACGCGGCGCAACTCTAAGTGGTCCCAGAGCAGCAGCTCTGGGCTGAGGGGCGGGGAGGGAGGATGAGGGTGTGCCAGCAGAGGGGCAGTTTCGGGGGCTGCTCCGACCTTTGTTCTGCTCATTCTCTCTCCAGCGAGGGTGCAGCCCTCCGAATCCTGGCCAGCGTGTCTCGCTTTGGGGACAGCGGGTCAGTGGCAGACCTGTAGGTAGAGATCAGGAAGTGAACTGGGGACAGGGATCTGCCTCCTCCCCACCTCTCCCCTCTTCACTGGCTTGATTTTTCTGACCTCTTCAAATACCTTTGGAAGTGAAGAAGGGGAAAACAATGGCTTTTACTGCTCTCTGCTTCTGTTTCAGTTTTTCAAGTCCTGCAAGAGGGCTAGACTGCCCATCCCATCTTCCAAATCTACATATATATAGATATAGATACAAATGCATATGTATGTAGTTTGTGGGTTTCTCTATGTATATATATATGTACATTGAAGCAAAGTGCTGTTTATTTTTGTGGTCAGTGAAGGAAGGAGGACGAGGGCAGCAGACTTGAGGGGTTTGTAAGGAGGACCGGCAGAGAGCCGGCTGGGCGTCCTGATGTCTGTCCTGGGTGTTATTCCTCCTGAAACAGGATTCATGCCTTCTCAGCTGAACTCACTTCGTCTCTCTACCCTCTCCCATCCAGAGCAGAAATGGGGCTTGCCATGACTGCCGGCTGCCTGCTTTGGGGGGTTCAGTGATGAGTTACCACAGAACTAAACACAAGCCTTTATTTCTTGGTTCCTGGGTGAAGAGAGGGTGGCCAGCAAAGGGCCAGACTGGTATCTTTCTTTCTTCCACAGTTTGGCTCATGCTACGGCAGTCGAAGCTGCTTAGCAGTGGGGCCAAGAGGCAGGTCCTGATGCACAAACTCGAGCTCATCTGTCAGTAGTCCCTCTTAGTCCAGCCAGGGACAGGAGCCCTGCGGCCAAAGGGCCTCCCGTTCTGGAGCGATCTGTGCTGAGCACCAAGCTGCCGCGGCTCTATTTATATCCTGCCTCTGGCTCGGCACCCTCCAGAGGACTGTTCCAAAGGCGCTGATTGGATTCCTCCTTTCCTTTTGTGGGAGCTAATTCCCCAGATTGATTAATTGCCACTTGTGGGGAGCCTGCCTGTGGCTGGCTCCTTTCCATCTCTCCACGTGTTGCCTGCAGACTCTTCTTTGCCCTGGGCCCTCCTCCATCCCGTGGACCCAAGCTCTAACAGGATGGGATCAGAGGAAGCGAGGGTGCCCCCGGTTTCCAGGCTCTGGGGGCACTCTGGATCCCCTCTGTCCTCCCCAGTTTTACTTATGTGAAACTGGCTGAGGTGAGGGGGCTGGTGAAGATAGAAGGGGTGGTAGGTGGGGGCCTGGGCTCTGATCCTTTTTCTGCCAAAATCTTGTCCTAATTCGAACTCTTAGCACCCAGAAGCTTCTGTGAGGTTGTCTTTAAGTGACTAAAGATGCATCTCTCTCTTCCAGTGAGATAATGATGCTGCCCAAGAGTAGGGCAGAAGGTCCTGAAGACGGATGGGGGTGCCCCTGCTCTTTCCCCTCTTCTTCTGCAGGAGCCTACCCTCTGGCTGCCTGGGAAGAAAGGTGGCTATCAGGTTCCTTGAAGTATTTCCTTCTCGGTGCTGTTGTCTTGGCGGGTTTGGGGACATCTACCTCCCCCCAGTTGCATGCTTGGAAGTTGTCCAAGTCAAAGCACTAGAGGCTTCTGCTGGTCTCACTGCAGTTGCTAGTGGCTTAGCCCTGATGACCTCAGCAGGGGGAGGCTCTGAGAGCTGGGGAGCTGCTTCTTGCTGGGAACTTCCATCTTAGGGAGTGGATTCTTCTCTGCCACACAAGCCCTGTGCTTCCTTTCTCTCGCCTAACGAGGGGGGACTGATTCTGCTGTTGGGGTTCTGCCACATGTCGCACAACCAGAGTTCATTTCTGAGGGCGATGAGTCATTGTGACCGAGGGGGGAAGGGGCAGTTTCTGGCCCTCATTTTGCTGACTGCTCCACTCTTCTGGGTTGGGCCTGTGCCCTTGGGGTGGAGCCTGGACCTTTGGGCTAATGCCCTTCTCTGGGCATCCAAGACCCCCCACTTTACCACCAGGCGGCAGCTCCAGCGAAATGGAAAAGCAGAGTTTGGGCGACTCCATCTGGTTTCCGAGGCAGCACCACCTCTGCCACCATGTCCGACAAGTGACTCGCTGAGTACCTCTCCTGGGGCGTGTGGGGTCTCACACCAGCTCAGTCTGTAGCCCCTCTGGGTGTGTGGTTTGCCGAGCAGGGAGGATCCTGGCTGAAATGTGAATGTGGGGTGCCAGGGCTGTAGGACTTCAGGGTGAATTGGGCCAATCTTTCTGAGCCCTGTGCTGGGAGTTCCAGGTGCTGAGCTTAGCAAAGAAGAGGAGAAGGTGAGGTGGAAGGCTGTGCCTCCTTAGGATGTCCTACAAGGCCGAGAGCCAACCTCTGGGCTGAGGTGCCTCAGACTGTGGCTGTGCTTTCCCGAGGGGCCCACCAGCAAGCTCTCTCCAGGGCTAACAAAGGTGCTGACTCCTGTCTTCTCTTCCTCTGGCAGTGCCCCTTACCTCAGCACATCAGACCAAATGGTGGGAACTGTGCTTTCTGCTGGCCACTGAGTGGCAGCTGTGTTGGGGCGTCCCCAAGGCTAGGGAAAGGACACACAGCCGAAGTATCTCTCAATGGCCTCACACTCACCTCTCCTCCCAAGATGGCCTCCTTCTTGCGACAGTGTCCTTGAAGGCCGGCAGCCTTTCTGCACCCCCGGCAGCTATTTCAGTCCTTCCTTGAAGGGCTGTGGTGGAAATTGGCAGAATACAGTCCCCTCTGTCCATGCGATGGAGGGTAAAGATGTGGGAACACGCTTCCGTGCTGGGTGCGTGCACATGTGTGAGGGTGTGGTTGTACACGTGTGCGAAATGGGGGTGTAGCCATTCCTTGGGACCAAATGTCCTTTGTACTCTGCCCTTGAACAATTGCAATGTGCACTCTTGAGCTTCCTACGACTTTTGCGCTCCACTCTGTGGGCGATCAAATGTCTTCCAGACTTCCTCTTTTATGGTCTGGTACCTTTGCAGTAGAAGCAGCTCAGATAAAAACCTATTCCTGTGTCTCAGACTTTTGCCTGCCCCTTCATTCTGCACCCTGACCAGAAACTGTGACTGTTTCAGGGTTAGGCGATTTGCAGACTGGGACAAGGGTAACATGATTCTCGAAGGAGCCTGAAGCTGAAAGTATGTAGGAGGGTCTGAGACTGCAATTGTTTGGGGAGTAAATGAGCAATAAGGAGAAGGCGAATCCTGTTCCTTGATTGCTGGCTGACCACACCGAGTGGGTTTCATGGCTTGCGTGGGGCCATGTGTGTGGATCGTTGTTTGTGGCCAAGTTCAGCACGTGCTGGTGAGCCCCACCACTGTATCTCCCTGCCTGCCTCCCTAGCTTCTTTCCTGGCGAGATGGGGGGCGGAGTAGGAGAGACCTTTGGAGATTCTACTTTCTACATAGGAAGGATGCTTCATCCCACAGGGCTGGTGGGGTCTGTGCCCCACTTTGAAGAGCCTGTGTCCGATGATCATGCTCTTGCGGGCATCTCAAGCAGGGGTGGATTGGGGTGAGTAATTATTAATATTTTTCAATGCTCTCTTTGTTTTGATTTGGGATCTAAAATATTTAGGGTTGTACTGATTCCAGTTGTTTTCCTGTGTCTTTTTTTATGCAGAGGAAACTGGATAGGGTTCAGATGTGGAATTTCCTGACTAGTTTGGTTTTTGTTATATCTTCTTTTGTTTTTTGCTGAGTTGACAAAACAGTAGCTTCAAGGGAGAAACAGACTTCACAAAGCGTCAGGGCGACTTTGCCACTCCCCGGGATTAGAACCCAGGGCTGAGGTGCGCATGGCTGCAGCTGTTTCTTTCAGTTTTGTTAGGAAAGCCTTCTGGGGGGTTGGGGTGGGCTGGGGGGAGAATTGTACATAAAGTACATTTTATTACTACGTAGAAACATAAGAAAAGAGAAGCTAACGGTTAATCTTGGGCTTGCTTTGCTTGCATGTAAAGGAGCTTTGGGCGCCATCACAGGGATTTCTGGGGAGCAGTAGGAAGGAGTCAAAGGGGAGAGATGGGTGGGAGCAAGGGGCGGCTCCCCTGAGTGCATCCCCATTGCTCCGCCTGGGTAAGAGTGCACATTTTCACCAACCCTTCTGGGCCAGCTCCGCCTTTGTATCTTCTTCAAAATAAAAGGAGGCAGGCTCCAGCAGGCTGGAGGCTTGGAGCCCCATGGGGCTGTGCTTGTTGTTTTGGGGAGAGGGTCCAGATCTAAACTGAATAAGGGAATTGATTGGGTGGGGTGTTTCAGGAAAGGGAGTTAGAGAGTTGGAGCACAGAAAGGAGGTCAGTTTCTTTTGCCTGGTGTCTGTAAGGCTGGAAGGGGAATAGAGGGCTAGGTCAATCACGAAGTAGAAAGAAGGTGGGGATCCTGAGATATGACAGTAAGGCCAAAGCCAGGGGACATCAAGCCTTACCTTTCTCATTGGGGCATGTGATAACTTAATTACCCCTAAGGGTGCAGTGTACATGTTGGGGGGTCATCCCAAGAAAAGAAAGAGGAGCAGTTGCCTGGGGTGGGGCAGGCTGGGGAGTAGTGGCAGTGAAGATCATTTGGGGGACAGGTGTGGGAGGGTGATACAGTCATTGAAAAAAGACTGAGGGGTGGGGTCTTGGCACATAGGCCCAGACTGGATCTTGGAAGAGGTTTTGCTTCTTAGCTGGACCTCTTTGCTTCTTCTAGAATTAGCCTACAACACGAAGCGCCCAAACCCAACATGGTCATATTCTCTGTGATGTCCTTCAGCTTCATCTGTTTGTTTTCAGGGGTTCCTCAGGCCCAAAGCTAGGAGACTTGTCTTGAGATCCCCATCGTATTGCCAGCTCTGTGTCAGTAGGGAAGAAAGACTCATTCTCATGAGCTTTGTGTGTTTGTTTTCATAAGCAGAAGTGGCAGATGGCCCTTTCCCTCTCTCCCATGATCTTAAACTGCTTGTAAGACATTGTTGCTGGTGATGGAGAGGAAGGACTGGGGTTTGCTTTTACATTTGTCACCTTTTCTTCTTGAGGCACAGAGACCGCCTTCAGACCATGAAGCCACACTGTGGCTTTATGCCTAGAGGTTTGGGTCTCACTTTCTCCTCCTTTGACGGGGTAAGGCCACCAGTCTGATTGACATAGAAGGACAAAAGAGTTTCACTCTAAAGTCAGACCAGCCATTCCGCTGTCCTCTTTGATGTCTCCAACCCTGCCTCCTTTCAGATTGAGAGGTAGAATTAAAAATCTCTTTAGAAGAAGTCCATAAAAATCAAGCCCAGATGGGACTTCAGCCCTCCTAGCACCTTAATGTTTGGTTGAGGAGGGGTATCCATTACTACCCCTCCTTCCAACTTGTTGTGAAACCACACTGGTCCAGTGCTTTATTTCTGGGCCCCCGTCTATACTTTCAAATAAGTCTTTTGTGAACAAATATAATATCCTCACCACATGCTCTGTGTTTTGGGTTGCTGAGAGGGTAGACGTGTTTTCATAACCTCATTTTAAGCTGATCAAATAATTTCCAGTAGATTGGGTCTGATTCACAGGCCCTCCTTCCCCAAAGATTTCTGGGTAGGAAAAATTAAGCATTAGTGCAAATATCATTAATGGCTCGCCACACCTTATAGAAGGAAGAGTTGAAGTATCTTGATTAATAAATACTTTGGTAGGAGAGCAACCAGCAATTAAAATCACTTAGGTATTCTCTTCTGTGATAGTCTATAGTATTAGCTGGGGTTTCTGAAGAGGGCTGAAGAAGTAATTGCCAGCTCTGGACCCCTGGCTGGGAGAGCTAGATTGGGGAGGTAGAGTGTACAGATTCTCAGTTCCTGTCGCTGGTACCTTGGCTGTTTGCCTTTCCCATCTCATGAGAGGGGGACGTGAATGGCTGTCTGGGCCTGTTGTTCTTTTTGGTCTTAAAGACATGTGCTCCACCATCCCCACCTCTCCCTAGCACTGGGTTTCCTGGATTTATTTTAGGAACTAGGGCAAGCTCTCCACCTCCACCCCATATACACACCAGTTAGGCCTTTCCTTCCTTACCCTACTTCTTTATGGCTCCAGGGATCTTGAACTTGTGCATGGTTTACGATAGGGAGATGGTTGGGTGGGGAAGGGAATCTGGGAGGGGAGATGGGTTGGGCTGGGAGGGGGGATTTACATTTTCAGCCTTAGAAATACTGCGAGCATGCTTTTGGGTGATGTGTGGGGTTTTCACATAGTAGGTGGAAGGGGCAAATGCTGACCCCCCTCATGGGTGATGAGGACTTAGAGGCTTTTTGCTTCCTTTTGGCTTAGGGCATCTATGAAGCCTCATTTCTGATGGAGGGGAATAAACCTCCTCATGGTCATCTTGCAATCCTTGGAAGGCAATTGCCAGTCATTCTGTCAATGAATATCTATATTGCCTATGCGAACAATGAGAGGTCTGTCATGAGTAGACAGTGTCCTAGCTGGGTCAGAGAAATGGGGCTGTCTCACATGTCCCTCTGAAGTTGTCAGGTCATCTCCCTGGTCTCCAGCCCCAGCCAGCTGTCTAGTCTGTGTTCCTTTCCTGGGCTCAGGAAGTGAGAGTGTGCATGCTATGTGGGTATGAGGGTGTCTGGTTTGTCTGTGT